TTATGACAAAACAATATTAGCATAAACTGAGGACTTCTGTTTAGCTAATGACTTAAATTGAATGCTTTAACTCAGCAAATCAAGAAACAAATGCTTTACAGTACAGAAAATGATGTCTGTGAACATGCATGGAATTCTTGAAATTGGAAAGTACCAAAAAAGATTTAATTAAGTATAAGAATGATTCCTAACAGAAAGGTATTTACAATAAAAAGTAAGTTAGTGAATTCAAGAAATTTAAATGTTATATTAATACTAACTAGCAAAATTTAAAACCAGTTTTTATATTAGAACTGATGATACCATTTGCTGCAGATTGCTTCTCAAATAAATAAAATTATTTATAAACTTGAAGAAAAACCTTTGAGTTATAAATATGTATAAATCTATTTCTATTTACTTATGTTTCTTGAGTAACCTTTTATCTGTAGTTGACTGGTGCTTTAGTAAAACTGTGCAAACATTAGTTTTATCGTTTTCAGTTTTAGATGAGCAATATCACTTACGTAATCAAACCAAAAAAAGAATTCTATAAGGTATATTTTCTATTTTAAGTGATTATACTGAGTAAAAAGAAAAAGACAAACAGTAACTTATAACAATAAGCTTAAGATTATACATTCTATACTGAACTGTCAGTAAGATACAGACAATTACTTGGTTGAGTATTTTAAATTTCTATGCATTTGCATGGTTACACTTTCATTAAAATCAGATACTTGGGGCCAGTGGGATAGCTTTGTGGATAAATGCGCTTGCCACCAAGCCTAACAACCTGAATTTGTTGCCAGTTATCTACGAAGTTGAAAGAGAAAACCAACTTCTGCAAACTGTCCTCTGGCTTCTATAATCTCTAGCATCTGTACACTCGCATACATGTACACAATATAAAAAGGCAGTTAACTAAAAATAAAAAATAGATACGCTCACACTTGGTGACCAAGAAGTCCAGCTATACCTAGGAAGAATTTTACTGTTTGTGATTGTTTGACAGGGTATTGTGAACTCTGCCCTCTGGGCATAACATGGACTCTGCCTTCTTGAAATCAGAGCAGCTGTGATTGTATGCATTACCATTATCTCACAGAGGAGAGGAAGAGCTCCAAAGGGCAGTGTACCAGATGCCCGGATTCCTGCTCCTCCCCAGTATTTACACACAGTAATAGTTGTGTGAGTGATGGGTGGGGAAGCTTTTCTTCCCTGTGACAATAGTCTGTAAGCTTCCTTTGCTCCATAGGTAACTTCTCATTCCTGCTCCTGTTTATAACCTCAATTAAAGTCACTTGCTTATCAAGGTTGATTTGTGTGCCAGTTACTTTGTTTTGTAGTTGGTGCCCTGTCTGGGGCAAACAAAGATTTATTTGCTTGTTATATCTGCAGGGAACCTAACACAATTAGGTCCAATTGGGCCAGGCTGACTTTTCATATAGCTGAGGACAACCTGAACTCCTGATCTTCCTGTTTCTACCTCCTACGTACAATTCAGATAGATACCATGAAGCCTAGCTTAAGATTTTTCTTATTTTTAAAATTCAGTGCTTGTGTTAAAGGAAGCCTGGGAATTCTGATGAACAGTTTTTGAAAACTAAAAATGTCAGCTGAAATACATAAAACATCTTTTGAAATAAGTAGTAAGTTATAAGAAATGTTACATCAAGATAACCAAAAGTTTGGTAAAAGTCAAGTAAGACTTAAAAAATTAATCAGGACTACCTTTGTCCTGATCAATTTTGGTGATTCTAACTGAGGGATATAGAGACACAAAACTGTAGTTTCTGTAATCTAGGGGAAACTGGTGAAAAAGAGGTTATAGTCAAAGGCTTAATTCACAATAGGCCAAGACCTGGGGGGCTTCACTCTGAGAATGAGAATACATAAAACAGTGCTACAAATATGTGAGTCATTTCATTTGGGCTATGCAGAGTCCCTCAGACACAGACACTGGGTTCAGGTTGGTCCTTCACTGATAGAATACCCAAGCTCTAGGCAGAAGTAAAGAATACTTACTGTAAAAAAGGTATTTTGGTTTTTGACAAACTGTTTCTACAAATAGTTATTAAAATGGAAATTAAAAAAGGTCATAAATGATAACTAGTCCAGGAGAGAAAATAAAAGACATAGAGGGAAAAACACATAGATAGGAGACCAGGGAAATAATAATATAGGAAGATCCAAAAGGACCTCACACATGGAAATAAGCAGAACTGGCACAGATTATAAAAGAATTATTACTGTAATGTTCAAAGGAAAAAAGTAAAATTTTTGTAGTGTATTATAAATCACACACACACAAAAAAATCCCATCACAGCAGGAAACAGAAAAGATTTACAACTGGGAAGGACAAAAATTAAAATTGCAGTCAAAATGTTTAGAACATGCTAGACACAACTAAAAAGAATTGGTAAACCAAAGAGTTGATGGAAATACCATATTAGTAATTTTACAAGTACAGATAAGTACAGCAGCACCCCCCCCCCCCCCCCCATAAAAATGCATGACAAGAAGTATTGTAAGTCTAACAAGCAGCAATAAACGGACCTAACTGCTGGCTATGGCACAGTAACTCCTAGTTCAGATGGCATTAAAAATAGGAAGAAAACCTACAAAGCTGATTAAGCTTGACCTAGTAGGTGACAGAGAACACCATACTCTATAGCAAAAACACATTCTTGCAACTTGATTTCCTTTAGGCACTCCCCCCCCACCACAAAAAAAAGTCAGTAAATTCCAGAAAGCAGAAAATCACAGCCTTTCACTATAACTTCCTACTAGAAATTATTAGATAAGGACAGCCAAACAAACAAAACTCATTCACAATAACACAACACCATCAACTTGTAAATCTTAAAATACATATCTCCTAGGGCTAGAGATATTGCTTGGTGGTAAGACTGCTTGGCATGCAAGAAAAGAAGGTCCTGGTTTCAATCCTTAGTATGATGCATGAAAAGAGAAATCAAACTTAACAAAATAAAATACTATTTAAAAAATAATCATACCCTAGATTAAATATATGAAATGAAAGTCAAGTTGTACTCCAAAAGTAATTTCTGTAAAACACAAGTATTAGAAACAAAGACTAAAAAGAAAAAGATCCCAACATTAGAGAAGACAGATGAGAGAACAAAAGAAATAATTAAAAAGTGTGAAACTAATGACATCATAAAAGAAAATTAGGCAATAAGGACCTATTCTGAAAGGTGAAAGGCAACTAATATTTACTACGACACACTCAAAATATTACCTGTTTTTTTTTTCTTTATACCCTCACACAATTTTAGTATACAAAATACTCTGCATATTCCTCCTCCACCCACCTTAGAGAACAATATGTAATGGTATTACTCCTTGTTAATTAATCTGGACTGAATTCATCTTGTTATACAATTATCCAGCATGCTCCTCTGGTCCTCACATCACTACTCACACTTCCACAACACACCACTAAGTGTCCATCTGTACATCAACAACTACTGACGTAGAATGTGAGTACTGTATTTTAAACGTATTTCAAAACTTCCATCTTGTGGATGAGACTGAAACCTTTCTCTATACATTCTAACCAACATGACAATAAATGACTTGTATGTTTTAGAAGTAGCGAGGGGACAATAGTCCAATTCAGTTAAGAAAATATACAGTGTGGAAGAGATAATCCTGGGTTTTGAAGACAAGAAAACTGAAAATTTTATTCAGCATTTGTGCCTTAGTATTACATATATCCTAAGAACAATATCATAAGAACAATAGTTCCACTTCATTGGATATAAGAAATATGAGAAAATGTATAATAGTGTTTACAAGAGTAGCAAGGATAGGATAAGTGATAAGAATAAAAATGTCATTCATTTTTAAATTTTCATAAACTTTAGTGAGTATATTCAAAAATTTAAAGAAAATAGGTTGCCATTTAATTGGTTTTCATTTCCCACTTGGTTTATAGTTTTATTCATTAAAAGGACATACTTGTGTTATGAATATAAACTTTAATGTGTATTTTCTGTTACAATGTGTTTTCAGGTGTACCCTACTTTTTAATTTATTTTTAATGATATAGTTCAACTAAAAGTGGCAGGACGGTGTTTCATTAATTCTTGGTTATGTTTTCTTTCTTTAAAACCCTTTACCACATCTTTCAACTATATATTCATTTATATTTATTTTGAGACACAGTTTAATGTTTTATTTTACTTAATGTTTCAGGATATTCTGAATAGGTAATACACTCTAATTAATGTGTTCAGAATTTCAATGCAGGTAAAATCTATCCATGAAGAAAAGTTTCAGTAAGTTACCAACATCTATTAAGTTTTAAACACAAACAAAACTTTTTAATGTGGGGCTCTCCAAAACTGCAGAGACTAATTTCTTTAAACCATAATTTCCACAAAAAATGGAATGTCTAAAAATAAAGCATTTAGAATGATAACTACAGACTTCACAATACTGAACACATAACTCTTCCTGGATGCTATGTCTAAATGAGAGATGAAGAACAATCTGCCCTCTCAGGATTGTTACTATGAAAGTAGACCAACTATGTAGCACACAGTAACATACCTGGGTTCAAATTTTTTCAAGGAGTTCAAAGTACAAAGGGAAGGAAAACATATGCTACTTCAAAGCATGAAAATCCCTCAGTATCTGCTTCCTGGATTGCTTCCAGGACACACCACAGATTTCACAATGTATAGATGCCAAAATCTATGGATGCTCAAGATCTTGCATAAAATACTCTGATGCCTACATATATACTTTACATCCTCCCATATGCTTCCAATCATCTATAGATCACAAACAACTAATACAATCTAAATGTTATGCACATGATTGTTACACCATACTGTTGAGGTAATAATGTTAAGACAGTCTGTAAATGTTCAGTAGAGACAAAACTTTTCCTGAATATTTCCTATATGCACTTTGTGAAACCTACAGATAAGGAGAGCAAACTGCTTTTTCTATAGATTATATTCTTTTGTAAAGTACTCCAACTTACATCATTAGACTTGCATCTTTCCTTGTGAGAATATATAGTCCATTCCAAAAGCATATTTACTGGTTTTGTCAAAAGTCCTGAAGTTTCACTTCCTGACCAAAAGATTTCAAGAAGAATTGCTTTTTCTGTTACCTTTAGACTCTGAGAATCTGACCAGTCACACAACCTAATGAAAATATAAACAAAAGATAAATTATTATGCCAATATAATCATGGCAGTTATCACACTTATTTTGATAGGACAAGAATGTTACCAATTTTTGAGAAATGATAGTATATAAAAGAGCTACAATAAAGGACAAAATGTAAAAAAATAGCCTCACAGACTGGGTATGTCACACTAAGCAGGCAGTCCCAGTGCTGGAGAAGGAGAGTCAAGCAGGTCTTTGGGGCTCACTGGTCACTATTCTGTGAGCTACAGGACAAAGAAAGACCACTGTCTCAAAAAAAAAAATTGTCGATATTCCTGAGGAATGACTCTCAGGTTGAGCCTTTGGTCTTTATATACACGCACACACGTGCACTAATATACATAATGAATGTGCACAGAAAAAGAATGGTCTCAGTTAGATTCAAATCAGTAATGTATACAGGGCATTTAGGAATTAGAAAGAAAATGAATGTAATAAGCGAATCATCACTGCCAGTGGGTTGTATTTGAAAACTGAAACAAAACTTACACAGAAACATAAAGTAAGAGATTTCTTAAAGACAGATACATATATAATTATAAACATAAAAAGGATTTCTTGTGATTAACACTTACTTTTGACTCAAATGCCGTACTTCACTTTCAAGTAAATTAAAGAAAAACTTGAGCAATGTAAGATGGACCACCTTAGAACCAATATTTTCTGATATTTGATGACAGAAACCTTCATTGAAAAGGCAAGACCTGAAAAGTATGAACCCAACAATGTATTTTATAAAAATAAAGTTACTGAATAAATTGTGGACAAAATATTTCTTTTTTAAGATTACAATTTTAACAAATTTAAAGCAAGCTTAATAAAAATTTTCTTTAAATTTCAATCATGTCAAATATAGAAGGTTTAGTTCTTTTTTGTTGCTGTTTTATTTTATTGTTTGTTTTTTAAGACAGGATTTCTCTGTTTCACCCTGCCTGGACTAGAACTCCCTTTGTAGACCAGGCTGGCCTTGAACTCACAGATATCCACCTGCACTTGGTTCTTAACACAAATCTAGTTTCTCTGGTCTCAATATAATATATTATAATATATCTAGCAACTATCAGTACTCTCCTTGTCCACTTCATTTCACTGATAAGAACAAAGACATAGGAATTTCATCAAGTCCTTTAGATCCACTATGATTTCAGTTTATAATACTAATTATAGTATGCTTCCTTACCATGATTATTTTCATTTCCACTACTTAATAGATGGGCGTAAATGACTGCATATTTAGAGTTTTCAAAATTGAATATTTTATTTATATCTTCTGTCATAACCATGTACAATAGAACTTTAAATGATAATTGCTGTGTTCTACTATGTACCTGAATTTGGCTTGTGCATATGAGGAAAGAGTTGGTTAGCACAGTTCTATGGTGTACACCCATGCACACACACACATACACGTTAAGTAAACAAGTTTGTTACATTTTTTTATGTGTGGATGTTTCTGCCTGCATGGATGCCTATGTACCATATGTATCTAGTGCTAGCAGAGGTCAGAAGAAGGTAAGGGCATTGGATCCCCTGAAACTGAAGTACAGAGGGTCGTGAGCTACCATGTGGATGCTAAAAATGGAACCTGGGTGCTGTGGGATGTTCTATATGGCAAATGTGTTGCTCTGATTGGTCAATAAATAAAACAGTGATTGGCCAGTGGCTAGGCAGGAAGTATAGGTGGGACAAGGAGGAGAATAAAGCTGGGAAGTGGAAGGCTGAGTCAGAGACATTGCCAGCCGCCACCAGGACAAGCAGCATGTGAAGATGCTGGTAAGCCACGAGCCACGTGGCAAGGTATAGATTTATGGAAATGGATTTATTTAAGCCATAAGAACAGTTAGCAAGAAGCCTGCCATGGCCATACAGTTTGTAACCAATATAAGTCTCTGTGTTTACTTGGTTGAGTCTGAGCGGCTGTGGGACTGGCAGGTGAGAGAGATTTGTCCTGACTGTGGGCCAGGCAGGAAAACTCTAACTACACCTGGGAGCAAAAGTGTATGAACCCCTAAGCCATCTATCCAGCCCTGCAGTGTATTTTTACAGAGAAAGTAAGATCACTAATAAATTCTAAGACTTACAGAGACAGAAGTTAGGCAACAGTATTCATTATTTAACTCCAAATTTTTTTATTAATAGTATCAAAAATGTATCTGTTGCTTTTTATTTCTGCCTCCAGTGTCCTTGACTTTGTGAGTCTGTTTATGTGCATACATGTTTGTGTGCACGTAGAGACCAGAGGCTGATGTCAGGCATCTTTCTCAATCGCTTGCCACCTCATTTTTTAAATACAGACTCTTCCCCCTCTCCCTCACTCCCCTCAAGATAGGGTTTCTCTGTAGCCCTGGCTGTCCTGGAACTCTCTTTGTAGACCAGGCTGGCCTTGAACTCTGAGATCCACCTGCTTTGTCTCTTGAGTACTGGGATTAAAGGAGTGCACCCCCACACCCAGTAAAATGAACTCACTAATACAGCAAAACTAGTTGCTGGTCAGCAAGTCTGTCTCTGTCTCCCCAGTGCCAGGATTCTAAGCATACTGTCAACATATCAGCTTCTCAAAATCAAAGTGCAGGGGACTGAACACAGGTCCCAGACCCACAGTCAAGAGTTAAAACACAGCCGGGCGGTGGTGGCGCACGCCTTTAATCCCAGCACTTGGGAGGCAGAGCCAGGCGGATCTCCGTGAGTTCGAGGCCAGCCTGGGCTACCAAGTGAGTTCCAGGAAAGGCGCAAAGCTACACAGAGAAACCCTGTCTCAAAAAAACCAAAAAAAAAAAAAAAAAAAAAAAGAGTTAAAACACACTTGGTCCCAGTTAGTTTGCAACAAAACCTGGGTATGTTCTCAAGAAACTTAAAAAGATCTCACCTTTGCCTAGCTACTCAAGTGTCTTTTCTCCCTTATTTGAAGGACATTTGTGGATATATAAATGAAAAACTCTTTCCAACAAAGGAAGACTATTAAAGTTATAGTACAAATCATAAAACAATAGTTAGTTTAGCTAGATGGAAAAAAACAGGGACTCAGAAAACAAGAAAGGCCCGGTGAAATGACACAGTAATGACAGATCTGGGAGACAATAAGTACTGGCTGAAATTCTAATTCTAATTAGAATAAAATAAACCCCTAAAATAGATACTGCATAGATTGACAAATATTTATGCTTTTTATGACTAAAATTTGATGCTTATATTCAATAATTTTTCTTTCAAATATATATAAATTCATAATTAAAATTTGGTACTATTCTATTTATTATACTTAATTTTTTAAAATATTGACAAACATGATCAATATAAAGTTTGTCCTTTTCATAAGTTTTGCAACAAAATACAAAACACAAGCATTCATATTTTTTCTAAAAATACAAATATACTTTTTAAAATCAATTTCTAAAAAACAGTCAAACGACTATTAGACAAATATGCACCCTCATATGCCAAACAGCTTACCTGATCAGCACTTCCACCAGAGACCAGGCTCCTCCCCTACAGGCTGGACACTGAAAGAGCTCTAGGTAGTACCTCAGCATGGCTGGCGACTTCCAAGGAGGGTGCAGATGGAGAAGAGCCGACAATATATGAAAGTACCGACCTGAGAAGGTGTCTATGCTATCCTATTATTTAAAAAGAAACAAAAGAAAACACTGTAGCTAAAACAGTTCATCGGTTAATTTAGTTTAAAACTAGAGCAGTGACTCTAGCCTACTCTTGTGTTTAGACAATTATATCAGTTTGAAATAACAGGTAAGGTTATCATGCAGCTCTATACATCAGAAAAGGTTAAGTATTAGGGGTAGCATAAGTGAGATTTTCAGGTAGGATGATAGATCTCAAGGAACAGTTAAAGAATCTCAAGGAACAGTTAAAGGAAGCAAAGGTGGAAACTCTTCATGTTCCAGCCTTACATGTATTCAACATTACCACAGCACAGTTTATCCCTGTTATAAAATCAGCACCCTGTTCAACACGATAGAAGGCTACTTCTCCATAGACACAACTGTTTTTACCAACTACATTCACTTAACCTGTATACCACAAATGACTATTACTGAAGGCATTTTAGCAATCTGATACCATAATCTGACATTTATGCCCCAGTAAAAATAGGTAACATTTTGTCTTTTCTAATTGAACAATATTTTTTATACAATATATTTCGACCATCCATTTAATAGGTTAAGTCATTTATAGTAGATAAATATTGTTAAAAATAGAAAAAGTGGTAACAAATGGGTACTATACTTTCTAGTAAAATGGGATGTAAAGAAAAATGACAATTAATATTCACATTTTAGCACTCCTTAAAAAAATAATTCTAAGTGCACAAGGTGTCCTTACCTGCAGAACATTCTCTAGAAGGGCATGGAGGAGGCACACAGGAGGGACATAATGGGCTTGCAAAGAGGAAAGCTCTTCAATGGCTTCTTTAAAGAACTGTCCCTCTATGAGGCTTTCAATTAAGTTTAATATCCCTCTGGGGAGCTCTGCATTTTTAACCTAAGAAAAAATAATTTTATGACTGAAAGAAGGAAAGTTTACCTCTGAGACCAGATCTTGAGTGAGTAGAGAACCTCTGTCTCCTCCTCTACAGTGGGGACTCTTGTCCTTACTACTTGACAGCCTGCACGACATCTGAACTTTCCTTGTCCCAAGCAAGTAACATGTATTACTGTGTTTCATAACTAGAAGGCTCTCAAAAAACCAAACAACAAAAACTAGAAGGCATGTGAAAGTGTTATTTGCTGTTTCTTTATTGTTTTTCATTGCCTGAAGGGGTAAGATAAACTATTTCTCTGAAAGAAAGTCTTTAAGAGGCAATGTTTGCCTTAAAAACCTGAGAATAACCGTTTTTAACTGGAACCATTCTAAAGACCACATGGAAGAAAATAATCCATTTAAAAAGAATGAATGGTGATAAATAAAAGAAAATATTTTAGAAGTATTGGATCAAGAATTTAACACAAAAGTAGTAATTATAAAAGTTATGAAATATGAAAAAAGTATGTACTTCATCTATAATGAGCACTAGGTACATTTTTTTTTTCTCAGCACTATTGATAGCTGTGTTGAAAAATTTTTTGCAAGAGAATAATTCTTCCCTACCCCATATCTGATTATAAGTAATACATTACCTTAAATCAAAATGACGAAAAATTACATTTCTTTTTTGACCCAAGTCACCATCCAACTCCAAGCCCCTTACCTCTACATTGTATACAGGCTGTTTATCTACTGTGATGCAGTTGTATCGAACAGCCTACAAAACAACAACCATATAATTAAATTTAACAGTTTAAGTTGAAAACTATATTTCAGCCTACAAAGCACAAAACCTTGGCCAAACATTCAAAACAGATTCAGGAACACATTAATAGCTATAATTAATCTGATGCTCATTCTGGCTCAGATTAGTAACTATCATCATTTTAGGAATAGCATTCTCATGAACAGACCAGTTCTATTGTCTCCTCCTCAATTAAAATAACTTCAGGTCATTTTCACTTTAGAGATCTGAAGTTGTCTATTCTCCTTAGTACTTTATAATTAAAAATATAAATGCAGAGAACATTTTATATAAAAGTCCAATGGGGAAAAAAGTGAGTCACGTTTTCTCAACAATCACACATAAAAACCTCTTGTATTGTTTTAAAATACCTGTACTTGTAAATTTTTAGAAAAGATTATAGTGAAAAATATCTGCAACAAATATAAAAGATAACATCCTGATTCAGGAAAGTTCTACAAAGATATTCAATAAGCAAGCCAATAGAAAACAAGACAAAAAACTGGCAAAGCAATAAACAAATTGCTAGTGAAGCTATAAGATGCATTGAATTTTGTTACTAAAACGTTGTAAATTCAAATGATAATTGTCTGGCTTCTATTCTAGAAATGTAAAATTAGAAAAAGAGGGCTCCTACTTTAACAAGAAAAAATCAGAGATGTAAAGCACAATAAGCCAGCCTGAAGTATCAGATTTCAAGTATCCACTAACATACAGCACTTCCTAAATACCACCAAGTATCTGGATTCAAACAATCCATAATTCAAACATACTTCCCAGTCACTTACAGCTTACTAAAGAAAGAGTTATAGTGTGATAAGCATTACCTGAGCTCTATATATGTCTCTGTATATCTGCTTCTTTAAGGCATTTTTTACTTCCGTGAGATCCACATTTGTCTTGACATCCTTGGTTTTTGATTCATTGGCATAATCAGTAAGAAGAGAACTCTTCCTTTCTTTCTACATACATGTAAAGAAATTTAGATACTGTACTAAAGACAGTACTCCACACAGACAAAAATACAAGACTATAAAAAAACCCACTTATATTTTGTGATTTTGTTGTTTGTTTTTAAAGCCCACACAGCGATGTCAAGACACTGCATGCCAGGCAAATGCTTGACCACTGGGCTACATCTTCAGCACCTTAAAAAATTTTCATTTGAACCTATCATCAAACCAAAGTCTAAACACAAAATTAATTGATGTCCTTTATACTTCTTCTATACATAACCTGAAGGTAACTTTATACACAACTTAAGTGTACCTAGCCTGTTTTCCTTGGTCTATAACGTAAGGTAAAGCATAGATTTTCTACTTTACATAAGAAGTTTTCAATATCATGTGCCACTGAGAAGGACTTGTTCTCAAGTGTTTCAGGCTTTTGATTTTTGGATTTAGAATGTTCAATCTATATACTCGGAACATAAAATAAAGTTACATTTTAGGAAAAGCTTATCTAAGAAAAATCCGTTTGAAAAGGGAGATAATTTTATTATAAATGGTCTGTATTTTACCAGAGAAGAACAAAATTAGAAACAATATTCACATTTGAAGAGATTTTACGAACTATAAACAAATGTAGTTTACTGTGGTGTTTTCCACTTAAAAAAAAAAAATCTGCCCCACTGGTGCTCCTACCAAGAGCAAAAGAGCACCAAAACCAGACACAAGAAGCCCTCTTCGGAGTTGTTGGCCAGGGGACTCCCAAAACATACAGCCTACTCCTACTGACCTTGTCACCTGCACCCTCTGAGAGGTGGATGGTAAGTTCCTATTGCTGAAGACACCATACATACACTTCAGAAATTCTATGCAAGCTTCACAGGGAGGGAGGCAACCAACAGGCCTATCCAGCTATGAAGCCCATGATCATCATCAAAGAACAGCATGGCACAATAACCTTAAGAATGCAGTAGTGGAATGCAGAGCATGGTAGGAACCAACAGTTTTCTAATTGGACTTAAGACCCACTCAACAAGGGGAAAATTGTGCAAGGTACTAGAAACCTACATAGCGCTAATGAAGTCAGGGTTATTGGAGGAGAATCTATACTTCTAATTTACTAAGTCAGCATAATCCCTAAGAGCAATCTATATTTGTTCTAATACCCACAGACAAGGGTAGTCTTCACCCCACATCAAGGAAACTTCTCTTTGCAACAGACAGGGACCATTACAGAAAACCACATTCAATCCATATGTAGAGTTGTAGAGCCCAGTCCCAACAGATACGCCTACAGTACATGCATCTAAGGCTCAGGGAACCTGGAGGAAGAGGGGCTGGAAAGATTTTAAAAGTAAGAGGGATCAGGGAGTTTATGTGAGATTGTGTGTCTCCTAGTAACATCAGAAGCTATACCCATAAAGTCTCACCAACATGACTGTCTAAACATGAGCTGAACAAGGAAGACACCAATGGGCATGCCAGAATGGATGGGGGAAAGCCCATGAAGCCTCAGTCCTACAGAAAGAACTTTAGGCAACTGAGGAAAGCTGGGAGTGGAAGAGGCATTCTTCCCCAAGCAAACACACAGCTCTTGGTTGTCCAGTGTCAACAGGTCAGCCCTAAAAGCATCTATGCAATAAGTAACATTATATGGGCTGAACAGGTTAGAGTTAGGAATATATATGTTCATGCAAATACATATGTGTGTGACTATTAGTAAATAATTAGTGAAAAAAGAGGTCATGAACTTGGAGGAGAATGGGGAGGGGTATATAGAGAGGAAAAGAAGAAAATGTTGTATTTATATTATAATTTCAAAATTTTTAAATGTTAAAAAAGAAATTCACCTCTTTTCCAGACCTTTTTTTCTTTTTATGAAAAACTTAATTTGAGAATCATAATTAGCCCAAATTTCCTTATGTATCCATATAAAAAGTTTTATGATAGACCACACTTAATTATATTATAATGTATCTAATATAATAAATGTATGTATAATAAGTAAAATAATAAACATATTACATCAAGGGTTGTTTCAAAGTATACAGAATTTAATATAGCAAGCACCTTTAACAGTCACATTGCCTATCTAGATCATACAGAAGGAAAACTTAAGAACACACATCCTATCACCTCACCTCATCTCTGCCATGCACGTGCTTTTGAAAAGGACTTCTAAGTGTGTCATGCTCATCATCAGTTTTGCAATAACCTTCTTTTTTGTTCTTTTTCCTCAAAATGTAAGTCCTTTGGATATTTTTAACTTTTTTCTTAGTTTCTTTCTGTATTTTGACCACAATTAAACAAAGCAGAATATGTATTAAATGTTACAAAGTCAAAATAAGCTTTTAAAAAGTGTATGTGTGGGGCTTTCAATACGTGTAACACATTGATCAACAGAGCTCTATGCACAGGAAAAGCTCACCCACACGTAAGTGTGTATACATTAGGAAAAAACATTAAGAAAATGCACATTGTCCTGATGATAGTAACTTCATTCCTAGGAATACATTCTCAGCTAGGAAATCCCGGAACCTGTGTACCAAGAGCCACTTGTTCATAGCAGAACTGTTTGATAATCTCAAAACAACCAATCAAATACTTAAAAGAAACAAAAAGAAAACCAAATGCTTATGAACAGCAACAACAAAAAAATGGGTGAGTTTAAAAATGCAACACAATTGAACAACAAAACATATAGGTGAGGAAAATGTCCAAAAATAGGGTGACCTACAAACGTTCATTCACAAGCAAAACTGAATGCCATTTTAAAATGAAAAAAAAGGAAAAATAACGTAAGTTCTAAAATAAGGGACACTTCCAGGTAAAAGGGAAAAGTTACAGTTAGAAAATGACAGAGGTGGCTTAAAAATTGGTAAGACTGGTTCTTTCCCTGGCTAATGAGTTCATAAAGTGGCATTTTTTCTTCCTTTAAAAACACGGCATAAATGTCTTATAACACTTTTATACATGTACTCCACAAGAAATTTCATGACTCATATTGTATTTAATAAATTTAGAAAGGATTTATAAGATAAAATGAATTTTTTGGTGAAAATTTACCTGATTCTCATGTGTATGTCTTCTGAATGTATTTCTCTTTTTAACAAATTTCATATCTTTTCTGTAGTCTCTGAATTTTTCTTTTTTGTGATGTTGACTCAGAGCAAATCTATCATTAACATTTTCATCACGATTTTCCATTTTGTTCTACATGTTTATAAAATTAATTATACTCTGGGTTAGTACAGCTTCAACAGAACCAATGGAAGACACAGAAAACTTCAGGAAGACAGGCTTTATATAACACACGAGATTAAATTCAAAATGCAAAGTGATTTTTAATACATCCTCGTTCTACAAAAAGGGCTAGAAAACAAATGCTTTAGTTTGCCATGTTTTACAAACAGTAAGTTACCAGATATACTTAGTTAACCTGCTTATTATTCATATTAAGAAGTATTACAATCTCTTTTCTTTGAGGCACGAGAAATTTCTATGCTAATTTTATGTACAACCTCCTAACTTTATTTTAATAATTTCCTTATATTTTACAAATTATCTATTTTTTATATATTTAATAACATGAAATCTATTTTGATAACCTCATCATTTTACATTCCTTGCTGTATGCAGCAACTGTTCATACTGCATTTAGAACGCATTATTTTAGACACATCAATTCAAAAAGCCTTACTAAACATGCACACATGATTATAGAAGGGAGTCTTAAAAGGCACACAAATAGCACTGTATTCAGGAGTGGGAGCAAAAAGACCAATGTATTTTAATCTTAGTTAAACTTGTCATGTGATTTAAGAAACTACAAATTTTAAAAACTTCCAAATTGTTCCTCGCATGAATACAAGTTTCTACTTACATATAAAAATGTTTCAGTTTAGACTAATAGTTGCTGAGTGATTGATTTGATAAACTAACAGACCTATTACACATAGCATAAACTGAACATTAGCTTTTCTACAGCAGAACCAATGAGGCTTTGTTGTTGTTGTTTATCACTAATGTCTGTGACACACTGCTGCACAACAGCTTCGTTCTTCCCATTTTGTTGTTTTTTCTGTTGTCTTGTTCTTCATGTTAATACAAGTTTATTTGTGTTAAGCTCTCTGTTCTGTTCACTTAGTTATATGTTTGACTTTAGACCCCTATGAACAGAGTGCTCAGGGATGAGGAAAAGTTCTATAAGGCACGTGATACAGCAAGCACACAACTTTTAAGTGATTAGCACATACTGGCGTCCAACGTGGTGGCAAGAGTTTCCACCTAAAACCTGAGAAAAAAGATTCTAAAACGGAGCTAAAAACAGTTCCTAATTGTCTCTCTCAAATGAGCGGCAGCTGCTGGTTTGAGCTACTGGCGGGTTCCTAGCGTGCACGCTCAACCTGCCTATGGTGGGAATGAGGCCTCTGCAAGTGGCACATTAAGCTGCATTATGGATTTAGCCTTTGCTAGTACAAAACAAAAAATGAGGTTTCTGGGCTACATGCTGCTTGGATAAAAGCATAGACCCACAATGGCTCCCAGAGCTGGCAGTAAGCATACCGCTGCCATGTTGGGAAGCTGAGGTGGGCGGAGCCAGCAGCCACAGCTGCTGCAGCTTAAAGCAACAGATTCACAATAAGACGGATTCAGATGTAATAGTTTAAAATGTGTGTAAAATATACGTAGGCTTAAAAGAGACAAAAAAAGGTGATATATACAGTATAGAAACAAATACATAGTTTTAAAAAATAAAGTCTTTAAAGAGACAGTAAAATTAATATAAAAAAATAAGCCACGTGAAGATGAATATTACACAGAGAATCTGGATTGTGTTGTCTTTGGGATTTTTAACTGCAGAAAAACATTTGATTGTAAAAGCTGTTGAGTTATGCCAAAATGTATATTTTAAAGGTACCTTGACTTCAAAATTTGGATATAAGGATGTGTTACTTTGGAAAGGAGACTCTGCTTTTGTTCCCACAGAAAGCCAGAGGCTATGGATTTATTCCAGATTAAGATACATCAGGTTTGACCAGCCAAGACCCCCTGAAAGGTCTCCGATGACACCATGGCCCAGATGATCCAACATCCAGAACCGTTTCAAGACAACTGGCTCAGATGATACAGCCTCACGGACTACTCCATGATCCTAAAATTTTCTTTGTTTCCCCAGAAGATACAGGGCCCCCCTCCAGCAGGAAGTAGTAAGAGAAGCTACGCCCAAATTCCCAAATATACCAAGCTGACTTTGGAGATATGTAAAGGTTAAAACCTTCCTTTTTAAGAAAAGAAAAGGGGAAGTGCTGTGGGATGGTCTGTATGTCAAATGTGTTGCTGATTGGTCAATAAATAAATCACTGATTGGCCATTGGCTAGGCAGGAAGTATAGGCGGGACAAGGAGGAGAATAGAGCTGGGAAGTGGAAGGCTGAGGAAGAGACACTGCCAGCCGCCATCAGGATAAGGAAGATGTAAAGTACCGGTAAGCCACAAGCCACGTGGCAAGGTATAGATTAATAGAAATGGATTAATTTAAGCTGTAAGAACAGTTAGCAAGAAGCCTGCCACGGCCATACAGTTTGTAACCAATATAAGTGTCTGTGTTTACTTGATTGGGTTTGAGCGGCTTGGGACTGGCGGGTGAGAGAGATTTGTCCTGACTGTGGAGAAAATACCACATTTGAGGAACTCAACAATTCTCTAGGCACATATGCATTATTTCAAAGAGTCCTAAAACATACTTACAAAAACTTCCACATGTACTCAACTTATGGCCTAAAAATATAAGGTTGATATACTCGATTTCAGATCCCAAGATTTATAATTTTTTTTAAACCAAGAACAGGCTCTCTTCTATAATTCTTTAGGAAAAAGATCAGAGAATATTTAACTCATAAAATTTTACCTGGGTTCTATACATCCTTCTGTCTCCAGCAGCTTTCATTTCAAGAAATCCTGTGTCTTTCTTAAGATCTTTGCTTTTTTCTTGATTGCTGTATTTGGTCCAACCAGAACTAGTTTGGGAATCTTCATCATTCTGAATTTCTTTCTGTATGTGAATAAAAAAGTTTAGGCCATTAACTAAGTATAATAATGTTATTATGCATATTTATTATATATATTTTATGGACTTCAACTTAACATATAATTGCATATACTGTCTAATCAAGTCTTCCTAAAAGAAAGGTTATAAAAAAAACTGGTAAAATATTTCAAGGAACCAATACTTATAACAAACTTTCTAAATAATAGTGATTTCTGTATGTCACATACATACACAAAAAAAGTGAATGATTTGTCTAGTAACTGCTATTTATTGAGGAATCAAGGACAAAAATATTTTATATAGCCTTATAAACATTAAGAACACATCTCAGATACTAAAAATTGTAGTATCTGTCAGACTTCCTTGTCTAGTAACAATCCTATCTGAGTCATCTAGGACCAAAACATTTTATACACAGCCCTATGCAAATTAAAGTTACAATTCAGGGCTGGTGAGAGCTCAGTCAGTAACCTGTCTACCATGTAAGCATGAAGGCTTGTATTCAATCCCTAGAATCCAGACAAATAAAATAGCTTTGTTTGCTAACACACACTTAGAATCCAACACTTGGGAGGTAGAGACAGGTAGATCCTTAGGGCTTGCTGGCCAGCTGCCATAGTTTACATGGCAAGCTCCAGAAACCCTGTCTCAAGAAACAAATATCAAAGAAAGAAAAAGACATAAAGTGCAAATAAAACAAAACCCACAAAATAAACAACAACCAAAAAATAAGGTGGACTATTCTCAAGGTCCTCACAAGGTGGCCTCTACACTTGAGAATGTACCTGAGTGCATATATACAAACCTCCACACAAACTACAATCTAGACTTAAACTTGTCAAGTTGTGGATAGACTGTTTACCTTTCAGTCTTTCACTGATAAGAGTTCTCATTTGCAAGATAATTCAGCACCTATGTTACAGAACAACACCTTTACCTTCTGCTACTGCAAACAGTCTTGAAAAAAAAAATCTGAATTGAGTTCATAAACCATTTTCTAAGTCTTTATAAAGTATCCATGTAATTATACATATAATGTAGTGGCAGGAAAACAAGCTAAAAGTAAAGGTGAGCTCCTAATGGTTCCCAAGACATCTCTGTGCAAGTGTCCACATGCTCACATTTGCACAGAAAAGTGGAGGACCAACATCTTAGGCAATAATTACAACGGAATCTAAACCGTCAGCCACACTGCTGCCCTTACTAGTGAGGACTCCCTCCTCAGGCAAGAGTCCCCCTTCAGCAGACAGCAATTTTGTAGCCCCAGAATAACCCTTGAGAGCAAGTGATGGAATTTCTACATCAACTCAGAAGTTAAGGTGAAAATTTAGAAAAATAAGAACTTCTCTTTCTCCCTTTTAAAGAATCATCTTAAATACATAAACAATTTCTATTTGGAAGAATTTGCGGCAAGAAAAATAGTTTGTTTTTTAACCTCACATGGTTGAAAGAAGATAAATCCCTAGCCTGGACAAATAAATAGTTAAAATCAGGACTAATTCTACAAAGATTTCAGTTAAACAGAATGCAAAGGAACATTTATTATCATTAGCAAAAAGACCACAAACATAATGTTTACTTTTTATCCTTTTCAAGAGCTACACAAGAGATCTACACATTGGGGTGCATTATACAAGTACTCTAACATAAGGATTTAAGAATTAGACACTGATACATAAAATGTGACATGTGAAAAACTTAAATTGAAACAATATTTCATTATACAGCGAAAGATAAGGCTATAAGTTCCACTCCCAGGGACAGCCACGGTGGCTGGGCTGGCTCCACACCACTGCTGCTGCATCTCCAAAACACTGGGCTCCTGGGCTGCAACTGGACTTCACCTTCCTCGAGAGCCTCTCCTGGACTCTTCAGGAACCTGAGCCATGCCAGACAGTGCCAAGCCTCAGTCACTCTCCATGAGCCCTTCATGCCTTCAAAACCAGTACTACCTGGGTGACTCTTACAATAACTAGCTGAGCCACCAGCAGGAGGTAAGACCTTGGCTGCCTCTGGACCACAGGTTTTGTGTTTGACTTTGAGTTAACACTTCCCAGAAGACTTCACCTCAATAGTGCTGGCCTCTTACTTAATCACAGCTGATTCTTCAGCCCCAGCTGCCTAGCACCCAGATTGTCTCAATAAAGTGAAGGTTTTACTTTAGGTTCAAGTTTCTTGTTAATCACAGCCAAATCTTCAGCTCCAGATGACCAGACACTATATATTCTTCAAGCAAAAAACTTGGTAGGGTTTTTGCTTTCCTCTGAAACTTCATACGCCAGGACTCCGTTATCTGCACTGCTCTCAACATTCTTACCTTCCAAGCTCACTGAGCTCAACACTCAATGGTTTTTCTAGCCCCAAGTTCCAAAGTCCTTCCACAATCCTCCCAAAACCAGCATGGTCAGGTCTGTCACAACAATACCCCACCACCCTGGTACCAACTTGTCTTAGGGTCACTATTGCTCTGATGAAACACCATGACAAAAAGCAACCTGGGGAGGACAGGGTTGATTTCACTCACAGTTCCACATAACAGTTCATCATCAGAAGCAGTGAGGGCAGGAACTCAAGCAGGGCAGGAACCTGGAGGTAGGAACTGATGCAGAGGCCATGGAAGGGTGCTGCTTGGTGGCCTGCTCATCATGGCTTGTTCACCCTGCTTTTTTACAGAACCCAGGTCCATCAGCACAAGGATGGTACCACCCACAATGAACTGAATTTCACTCCAATCACTAATTAAGAAATGCCCTACAAATGGATCTTATGGAGGCATTTTCTCAATTGAGTCCCCCTCCTTTCAGATAACTCTTAGCTTACGTCAAGTTCACATAAAAACTAGCCAGTACAGTGGTGGTGTGTGTCTAACATCCCAGCACTGGTGAGACACAGGCAGGCTAATCTATAGGGTTTGCTAGTCAGCAAGCCTAGCATAGTCAGCTATCTGCAAATCCAGAAAGAAACCCTGACTCCAAAAAGCAAGGTAGATGACTCCTAACATAGGGGGCAGAGGAAGTCCTGAGTGAGTAAAATCCTGAGTAAATGTGTGCTGTTGACATGGGCACAGACATGTCAAGAAACCACAGGCTCAGGGATGGCAAAGTCTTCCTCTGGGTACCAAATACAAGTAGGGACAGTGTGTACAGAAAATGTGCCCCATAGACTTCCCCTTCCAGATATTAATACCCTGAACACTGCTCCCCTACAGAGAGTGGTCCTACAGAGATTAGCTAAACCTGCCCCCTTGATCCAGCTATAAACCACAAACCTTGCCTCCATGCTGTATGTAGTAATCCTGCCTCCTTGTTCAGCTGTATGCAAAACCCCACCTCACTATTCAATTATACATAATAAATATGCTGAGTTTAAGGGGTACTGCAGCTCCTTCATCTGAAAGCTGAGACCACCCAACCCCCAGCTGTTCTGTGTCCATCATTCCACATTCCCTCAATGTCTCCAGTGAGGTCCAAATCCCAGGAGCCATGCATAAATGTGGCTTCCTGAGGGACATCTGAAGATGATCTCTTGCCCACATCCAAATACACATGAACACACACACACACACACACACACACACACACACACACACACACTTGTGTACAAAATCTGTGCAAGCTCAAACCAGACAATATCTCAGTACCGGAGTGAGAGTGTGTATGCAGTCCCATGCTTAGCTGAAGAGCTACTAGCAATTACTAGCTGCTGAGAAAAGCAGGACCAGTTTTCTCGCATATCAACCACACTTCATGGCAAGCCCAACACCCATAGGGACTGAGAGAGGAAGTAAGGGAAGAAAGAAAAGGGGGTGGGTAAAGAGGAAGGGGAAAGGAGAGGGAAACAAAGTGCATAAAGTAGGGTGGGTAGGGAGGTCGGAGTGGACCTGGGAGGAGTTAGGAGTGAATATGATCAAAATACATCATTAACTCAAAGAAATAATAAAAATATTATTTAAAAAAAAGTTAACACAAACCCTTCCCTAAACTAAAATACCAATATTTTCTTCAATTTATTACTATTAGATTTATAGAAATTATTTTAAATGTAAATATTCTTTTTTTTAAAAATTCCTTACTTTACAAATATTGCTTAGCACCAACTAGGTTTTAAGCATGGTAAGGCCTTTCTCCACATCTATTATATGGAAAGAAGTTCACATCTAGTCTATTTTATGCAGTATAGTGCTATATGTCAGTGTGTAATTAAAAGTCCACTGATTTATAAAGTCTATTACCTAAGAATACAGCAGTGGAAATCCTAGTTAGTCTACCTTGTTTCTTTCAGATGTCTAACTAGTGTCTGTCTTGGATCAGGTGTAAATACTCTACTCTCAAGTCTAATTCTAATATCCTGCCAAGGCATTTGTCACACAGTTTGAATAAAAGAATTCATGAGACTGGATTTGGGATTAATAACAAGATTACGAACTTGAGAAATCAAGTAACAAACAACAGTGTTTAAAATGCTACTTAGTTCTTAACACAGACTATAGCCTTTGAAAAAACAAAACAACAAAAATAGAACTCATCAGTGCATAGCTCACCTAGCTCAAATGGGCTGGAAATCACTGTGTAGCTTTTACTGGTCTTGGATTTGTGATCTTTTGCTACAGATTCCCAAGTGCTGGGATTATCGATGTGTAACACTATGCCTGACTACACCTTGATTTTTTTTAGGCCAGGGGTGGGGGTGGATCTTTTTCTTTTCTTTTTGAGATTATAAAAGTTACATCATTTTGCTTTTCTCTCATCCCACCAAACCATCCTTGCTTATTTTCACATTCATGGCTCCTTTTTCCCCACTAATTGTTGTTACATGCACATATGTGCATGTATAAGTGTATGTATGTATGTATGTATGTATGTATGTATGTATGTATGCATAAGCACATGTCCTAACTACAACCTGCTCAGTTTGTATAATGCTCCGTGTATGTTTTTGTACTTTCAGGGCTGCCCATTCGGAACTGGATAAGTAACTGGGCTCTGCCCGGAGAAGACTCTCTCTCCCATTCTCAGCATTCCGCAGGAGCCTGTAGTTCTCTGGGCACAGCTGAAGCCTAGTGGGTTTTCTACCATGCACTCTGGTGGTGGTCTACGTTTAGGCAGTCATGCTGGTAAGACTGTGGTGCAACTTCTGACAGTAGTGAAGAGAGGATCTCATGGAAAACTCCCTCATCTCCTGGGTCTTAGAATCCTTCCACTCTCTCTTCCTCAGGTTCCCTGAACCTTAGGTATAATAACAGTTTTATAAAGGTTTTTCTTTGACTCTTACATGGAAATTTCACAATTAACTAATATCTTGTGATATTTAAATCCATTACAAAATTTTAACTACTTACAGAAAAAGTCAGTGAATGAAACCTAAAAATAACCCAAATGAGAGATGTGGCAAATGGGGTAGATTTTAGTAAAGAAAACAAAATTCACTGAGTGGCGCTTTACTCTTATGACAGTTATGGGAATTCAGGCGATTTATTTAATTCACTGTACCTCAATTTCATCAACATGAAGTGGGATGGCTATAATTCCAACTGCATAGAAATAGAGGTTTAAATAAGAGTGTAAAGTGATTAGCATAGTGTACACAGTGATCACTGTCGGCACGGAGCAGCAGTTCTAATAGTTCTCACAACCACAGCAAGATTAGGAATGAACTTTAACACACCCAGCGACATACTACTGCATGTACTATGGCATAGAACAAAATGACTTCATGATATCTCAGAACAAGCAAAGCAGAAATCTAGGTAAAATTAGTTGATTTAACTTAGAAAGTCTTTATGTTGCCCCTGTTGTATATGTTCTTCAACTCATTTTAATTCCCTTCTTTTAAGAAAACTTCTGTGTGTCTATGACGTGTGTGAGCACGCACGATCATATATGCGTATGTGCCATGGGTAGAGGTAGAGGACAAGTTTGGGTGTCATCTTCACCTTCCACCTTGTTTGAGACAGGATCTTTTATTGCTTGCTCCTGTGTATGCTAGGATAGCTGGCCCATGAGCTTCCAGGGATAGTCCTGTCTTCATCGCCCACCTCGCCACAGGAGTCTGGGATCACAGGTGTGTGCTACTGTGTTGGGCTTTACATGGGCCCTAGAGCTCTGAACTCAGGTCCTCACACTTTGCTCATGGAGCCATCACCCCAGATCTCTTAGTTTCCTTTAGTTCTCAGTCCAAAGAAATTTAAGCATTCTAAAATAACTTCTTTCTGTAAAATCTGACACACAGATCAACAATTAACACCTATTAGTAATTTTGCACCTTTGTGTTCCTTTACTTTACAAAATTTTTTACTAACCTGCATTTTACTAGAAAATGAAATTAATAATTTCTATGTTCTTTCTCCATTACTAAATAGTAAAGTACCTCAAAAATGGATATCTGATGTTATTTATTTCATATCTCTAATGCATTGCACAGCAAGTCTTCCATAGAGACTTACAAAAACCTAGACTAAATATTAATCCAAATCTGCCACTCAGCTTTCTAAAAAGTTTAGGAACATTAAACACAAGAGTTTTTGTGATCGCCATTTTTAACTCAGTCAATTTCCACAGCACCTCTTCCTAGATAATACTTTAAAGGAAGTATGTGAGGTGCACAATGTGTTCTATGCCACAGAATTGGAAGAAAAGAGTAAGGTGAAGTTAACGTTCTCATTTTTCCTAGAAATAATCACAATGTGTTTTTTCTCACTTATACCAGCTACGTAATTCTGTCTGACCCAGAACTTACAAAACAATGTATTTTAAACTCAGTATATAAACTAGATGCTATCTGCTACTTTTGGTTGACATGTTTGCTGTTCTTTAATACTTCAGCAGCTATATCTTAATATTGCCATAGTCTTATTGTATATTAGGTTTGTATGGTTATTATGTAATATACTCCAATCATTCATCTTCACAGAAAATATATAATTCAGATATACTTTAAGAATGACTTTCTGTCGCTGGTGGCAAGTACTAGAAAACCACCTGAAACAACTCAACACAAGTATTAACTCTCAGAATGGCGATGAGGGTCAATGAAAGAACTCATTTTGAGAGTGATAAATCCAGAAACTCAGGGATCAGCAAGGGTTCAGACTTTTTGTTTTGGCCTGTGACACAGTCCTGCTGCAGAGCCCAGAGGAGCCTGAATTCATGATCCTTTTGCTCCACTCTTCCAGAGTTCTGGAATGGTAGGTGCCTACCTCTAGGGCTATGGTGAGTGTCTGGATTCTACCTTCATTCTGTTGTCTATATGGTTGTCTTCTTATCAAGGCTAGACTGAGGAGGAAATATTTTAACTCTTACACTTCTCACTACCCCAAAGATCTGACCACATGATCATTCCTAGATCAATCACTGTCAAGGACAATGACATTTCCTATAGTTCAAATGATACATCCCATGAACTAAATCCAATTTTCCAAGCTTATACTGCTACTGCTCACCAGGAAAAGGTGAGTATAGAAAGACATATTATGTGTACTCTCAGAAGATTCAGAAGGCTTTCACAATTTCTGCTGATCTAACAAATATGAAATGAGAATCCATGTTCCAGCTCTGTGTGAGGTGATCGGGACATATTATGGAAAACACAAAGTTAAAAGAAGAATATTATTAGGTAGAAATTTATTCTAGATGTACAAAGAAAAGATTTGATGTTAGTATGATGTTAGAAAAAAAGAGAAGCAGTTTGAATCAAGAGACATGTGAAATAGAATCAATATGACTTAGTAATGACTGGATACAAGAAATCAGGGAAGGAAGGTTCTGATTCTAGGTCCCTGGCCCTATGTACAAGCTAACAGGGATCATTTCCTGGTATCCACTGAAATGAGGTAGAATGGAAGGAGTATGACTGTTCATAGATGAAGGTTATTTATGAACACCCTGAGCTTTCTCTAACCCTACGTGTGAGACATAAATTCTTCACTTATCTATTAGGAGTTTCATCTGGAGTTTGATTCCTGTTCAAAAACTTGAGATTGGTATTTATATGACAAAGGAAGAAGGAAGAAGGGGGAACAGGACAGGAAATTATTTCTAAGTCTTAGAAATAATTCTCTCTTTTCAAAAAGAGACAGCAATCTCAAATTTATATGCCATGCATTCTCTGCTATTTTACTATAGTATATGGTAAAATAATTAAAATTACTTTTCGCATATACCACTAAAGCATTTATGGTATGAGTAGAGACTGAAACAAGTTTAACTTAAGTTTCTCTCAAATCTATACCCACATTCAACTATTTAAGAAATTGAGAATGCCTTAAAATATCCCATTTCATGTTTCTAATCATTGCATTTTCAAAATTCAGAACTCAATTTTAATATAAATATTCAGCCCTCCATTTCCACATGTTCTAAATCCACGAAATCGATAAACCCAGTTGGATAACAGGCCTATAATGCTTAAATCTGACTGGTACTAAACATGTAGGCTTGTAGTAATAGAGATAATTCAAAGTGTACAGGAAGGTGGATACAGATGACAGTTAAACCCTCTGTTATTTTACATAAGGGGGTTTGAGAGCTTAGCATCTGTAAACTTTGGTGTCTAAGGGGTAGCCTAGACCCTATCCTCTGGTACCGACATAGAAATGACTTCATTTCACTCTGTTGATACTTTATAAAAACAAACATTTTAAGACGTCTAGTACTTATTGTACTTACCTCTAAAAGAAAATCCCCTAAATACTGAATTGGATAAAACGGAGCCTTAAAGTTCTTTTGTTCTTGCTCAGCACTGATTCTTGCATTACTGGCAATCACATGAGTTATCCCACTTGGAGAACTTTTTGGTAAAATGACATTTGCCTTTCCAGCCTCCAAAACTCTAAATAAAAATGTAGATGATGAAAAAAAATAAGGCATTAGAAAAACTGAGTCTATTCAGTCAATTATCAGTTACTTCCTTAGGGATAGAAATACATTTCCTGAAAAGGTCATTCCCTTGGGTCACTGAGGGACCATGGAAAGTTAACAACCGCAATAATCTCTTAAATCTAAGATGTCTAGAACAAATGTTCTTTAAGAATCTTACTATTCTTTCTATCTGTTTCTTCATATGGGAATGTTTTTATGAACCATGATTATTGAAGGAACTGACATATACAAGTCACAGCAATAAGTCAAAACAACAGGTACCAGGTATCCTGGGAGGGAAAACACATCTCCAAGGAAATCACTGTGAACCACAATAAACAAACAAACAAACAAACAAGCAATACTAGCTGCCAAGACTCAACTAAAGAGTTGTCCTTTAACATTTCTTGATTTGGAGAGGCAGAGGCAGAAGGATCTTAAGTGTACACTCACCCTGGAGTGAAATGAATAAATTCTAGGCTAGTCTGGGATATAAGTGAGATCCTATCTCATGAAACAAAACCAAACAAAAATCAAAACAGATAAAAACAAAAGAAAAAAAAGCTTAAACTCATATAAGAAATAGTTTTACATTAAGGATTCTGAAGGTATTACACACAGAGATAAACTCATTCGAATATGAATTATGGTTTGGCTTCTGTTTAGATTCTAGAAAGCAAGAAAAGGCAAATAATCTATACAATCACAATTTTTCTTGAACCTATAACATAAACTACTTCACTTTTGCAGAACAAAAGAAGGAAAGAAAAAGAACAGAGGAAAGCATGACAATGAGGTAAGTTTTAAATATATTTAATGGTAAAGTATAGCTAGTATGATACTAGGCATCTGCTACAAGAAAAGTATGTCTTCACTTGCATATCCTTAGTCCAGGCCTTTCATGAGAAAGAAAAGTTTGGATAAAGGGCTAAGTGAAAACAGAAGAGGAACTTCCCTGGTGACTGTGCTGGGCCAGTGGTTACTGGCTGCCACTGAAATATAGGTACAAAAATCACATTTTTTTTCTTATACAAAGCAAGTACATCTAGACTACTAGAGAATGATAAAGCGTCTGTGCATTTCTATGAAGAGCTCTCTAAGGCAGACTCTATAAGGCAGAATTTGAGTGTCATGTGAGCCATGGAAGGAAGACGACACTCAGTGCTTTGAGAAGGTTCCAGCAACAAGAGTCAGCAATTTAGACAATGCTTAGCACTGAAGCCCATCTAGCATAATGAAGAAATCTATCCCTCCAGAATTGTGACTTACAAAGGAGTAATTACATACAAGAAAAGCATGATGGGAGTCTTTCTATGATGTGGTGATTGATGAGAGGCAAAGGTAAAGTAAGAACACTAAGAAAAGACCTCATTGTGCAATGGTCCCACAAAAAGCCCACAAAGAAATTGGAGTCTAGTGCTGTAAGTCTGACATGCTGAAGGTTATTATATACAGCATTAACAAAACCCACACCCACCCGGCCCACCAGTGAAAAGATTATCACACACATGTGCATACACACACATATGCACACACATACATGAAGGGAAGATACTATCCACTCTGGCTTCTACACAAAATGCCTAGGATAAAACAAAGTGCAACACTCTCAGTCCTGTAGCAGTTTGCTTGTAGGTACCCCTTTACTCATCCTATCTCCATTCCATGGGGACTCCTTCTCTCGGTTTAGACATAGCTTAGCTCTTTCTAGTGGATACTCTCAAGGAAGACTTAATGCCAATATTCCTCAAATTATTCTTCAAAAGAGAAACTGAAGGGACATTTCACATTTCTTTTTATGAGGCCACTATTACTCAATACCTAAATTACAAACACCCACCCCTCCCAAAAAAAATTATAGACCAATATCCCTATGAACATAGATGCAAAAATTCTCAATAAAATACTTGCAAAACTGAATCCATGAAAATATCAAAAAGATTGTCTACCATGATCAAGTTGGATTCATCCCAAACATGGTTCATATATAAATTGATAAATTTAATCTACCACACAAACAGACATAAGACAAAACCAAATGATCATCTCATTAGATTCAGAAAAGGCCTTTAACAAAATCCATCCTTCTTTCATGATAGGAATATATGGGCCATACCTCAACATAATAGACAATCTATAGCAACACAAACAACATCAACCTAAATGGAAAAAAACTCAAAGCATGTCCACTAAAATCAGGAACAAGATAAGGTTGTCCACTCTCTCCATACCTACTCAATATAATATGTGAAGTCTTAGCTAGAGCAATAAGACAAGTAAATGAAAACTAGGGGATACAAATTGGAAAGGAAAAAGTCAAAGTATATTTATTTGCAGAAGATACTGTTTTATACATAAAAGATCTAATCTAAAAATTCTACCAGGAAACTTGTACAGCTGAGAAACACTTTCAGGAAAGTAGCAATATTCAAAATTAACACACAAAAATCAGTAGCCTTTCTATATACAAATGACAAGCAGACTAAGAAATCAGAGAAATGGTACCTTTCACAATGGCACCCAAAAATTAAAAAATATAACTTATTTTTAAAAATCTAAGGACAGATTTAAAAAAAAAAAACTAAAACAATTACGACACTGAAGAAAGAAGTTGAGGAAGACATTAGAAGTTGGAAAGGTCTCCCATGCTCAAGAATCAGTAGGATTAATATAATGAAAATGGCCATCCTGTCAAAAACTGTCTATAGATTTAATATAATGCCATCAATATTCCAACACAGTTCTTCACAGAAATTAAAAAAAGATAATTTTCAGCTTCAAATAGAAACACAAATAACCCAGGATAGCTAAAATAATCCCAAATAATAAAAGAACTGTTGGAAATACTACAACCCCCAATTTCAAGTTGTACTACAGAGCTTCAGTAATAAAATCAGCAAGGTATTGACTTCAGACCCTTGGATCAATGTAGTCAAATTAATCCCCAGACATAATTCTACTAACCTATGGACACCTGATTTTTGACAAAGAAGCCAGAAATACACACTAGAAAAAAGACAGGATCTTTAACAAATGGTTACTGATCAAATTGGATGGTTGCATGTAGAAAGCAAATCCATTCATATTCAAGATCCTGCACAAAACTCAATTCCAAATGGATCAAGGACTTTAACCTAAGGCCAGATACACTGAATTTGATAGAATAAGAAAGTGAGGAATAGTCTTGAACTCACTGGCACAGAAAAACACTCCTTAAACAGGACACCAATAGCATAGGCACTAAAAACAATAAATACGACCCAATGAAACAAAAAAAGCTTCGTTATGACAAAGGACAACACCATCCAGATAAAATGGCAGGCTACAGAATGTGAAAAGGATCTTTGCTAATTATACATCCAATAGAGGGCTAATATCTAAAATATATAATGAACTAAATAAAACCCTGGACATTATGAAAAGCTAACCCACAACTGGACAATATGCAAAAAGTGAAGAGGTTTCTAAATGTGATCTTTTCATGAAACCCCCCCTCTCAGGTCTGAGAGAGCTAATGTGGAATAGGAGACAGAAGGAATATCAGAGCCAGAGGGAATGGATGACTCCAAGGAACAGTAACAGTGATTCCTAGACACAACAAAACTGATACACACATTAACTGGGAGACTGTGGCAGCATGCATGAAGCCTGCACAGCTTCAAGCCAGACGAGATGCCAGTCCTGAGTTGGGAAGGTGGAAAAGGGATCCCACCCTAACCAAGAAGCTTTCTGCAACTGGCACCCGTGTGCAAAGGCAAGATTAGTTTTCTATGGTGGAGTCTCACAGGGTATAGTAAACACATTTCGGGGTAGGCTCCATGCTCAGCAAATATTCTAAAACATATCCTTTTAGGTTTTAGTTACTAGAGGCTTCGTTACATAGACATTAGTAAGTTCTTACCTACCAATAATTAATATTTTTTAAACATAAATGGCTTAAATTCTTCAACCAAAAGATAAACAAACTCACATCTCAAAATACATGTCTATAAGACTTGAACTTTAATGCACGCACAGGTGAGAAACCAAAAGTATTTCTATTTGTTTAAAGGGACTTGAGGTAAAAAACTATAAAAACAGACAAATGTCATTATGAAATTAATCATGAGGATACAGTAATTATAAACACACACACACACACACACACACACACATATACATAATACTAGAGAACCGAAATATATCAAATAAATATGAAAGGATAGAAAGGGAAAGTTATATTACAATAAATTATAAGGAAACTTAGGTATACAGCTTTCAACACTAGTGATTATCCAGACAGGAAACTGAAAAGGAAACATTAAATTTGAACTATATATCAGACCAAAGGGACCGAATACACATGCAGAACATCCCATCCAAAAGCAACAATACATATTCTTCTCAAGTATATAGAAAAGTCTCCAGGACAGATCATGTGCGATCACAAGACAAATTTGAACAAATTGAAGAAAATCTAATGTAGCTAAAATCATAATCACCATCTTTACTTACTGACAGTAGTACAAATTAAAAGAAAACACAAATAACTGGAAAATAAGCAGCGTTACACAATCACTACCCTAACTAAATAATAATAAGGCGAAAGTTGGTAATATCATGAGAGATCCTAGCCTAGCATGGGGTCAATCACCAGCATTGTAAAACAACCACAATAAAAACATCTTGAGCTTGGCGGTTGTGGTCTATGCCTTTAACCTTAGCACTTGGAAGGCAGAGGCAGGCTGATCTCTGAGTTCTGAGTTGAAGGCCAGCCTGGTCTACAGATCTAGTTCCAGGACAGCCACTGCTACACAGAGAAACCCTGTCTCGAAAAGACAAAAACAAAGAAAACAAAACAAAAACATCTTGAGACAAACTCTAAATGGGGACATAGCCCATTGAAAGTTACAGAATGTTGGAGGCCCTGCTGGTCAGAGGTTGCAGTCTACATTGGCTTGATAACTCTCTCCTAGCTTGGTACAATATGGAGGAAAGTGTGTGCGCGCACACACACACACACACACACACACACACACACACCCCACCCAGGAAGGGCTAACTTCATTTGGAGAATGTCTCTAATCCTGGATGCCTGATTATCTCAAGGAGGACCCTTGACACAGTTCCCTACAAAGTTCTTCCCCTTCTGCCCATATGGTGACTAGGTGACAAGCTCTAGCTGTTTTGATAGGGCTGCACTGCCACTAATCCAGCTATATGCTAAGAGCAGGCCACTTAATGCAAATTAGGTGATTCCCCAGCTCTTGTCCCCAATCCTATCTCATGTGGAATCAAGTTGTGCTGCCTCACTGAGGCTGTCTCCTGAAGGCTACTTCTGCCGTGTTCACAGGCCGTGCAAAGCTGTCTGCCCCTGCTTATGACTTTGTCCTCATGGACTGGTGGCCAAAGGACCTTGAGGAAAAAGGGAACCCCAAAATGGAAGGCAATAAAATACCTCAAGACAAATTTACAATAAAGCTTTACAGGCTCAGGAGTTTGAACTCTTGGTCCTCAACAGATGGCACTGTTTTTGGAGGGTGTAGAACCTTTGAGGTGGGAGGTACAGTTTGTAGTGGGCAGGTCAAACTTGCAGGTACAGATGAGCTTTCTCTCAAGGTAGGTCTCTGGGTTCCGATCTGCACATGTGTGACCAGCCTTGCCTTAAGATCCACTGTCATTCCTTCCCCACCACAACTGACGAGACATTAACTGAAACTTCAGCTAAATAAACCTCTTTCCTTGCGTTTACTTTTGATGGGTATTTTACCATAGGGACTGGAAAAACCAACACAATACAATAATAATAATAAGAAGAAAAAATTAACAACTTAATGTTACACCTCAAGGAAGAAGTATAAGAACAAACTAAATCCAAACTTAGGCAAATAAATGGAACAATAAAGATCAATGTAAATACTAAAATAAAAAATAGAAGATCAGGGTATGGTGGCATACACCTGTAATATGAGTTTTCAGAAAGTCTAGGCAGGAAGGTAAAAGTTCAAATAGCCTGTGACACTAGACCTTATATTAAAAAGACAAAAATGAAGGCTAGAAAACACATAGAAGAAAAAAAAATCTATGGAACTAAAAGCTAGATTTTGAAGAATAAAACTGAGAAACCATTACCTACATTAAGAAAAAAAGCAGTGAAGAGTCAAATCAATAAACATATATGAATAAAGACATTACAGTGATTCCACAAAAACATACTCTAATGAACAATTTACACACAAACAAACTGGGAAACCTAAAATAAATGGATTAAACTCTTGTACACACAATTTATCAAGATTGAACCAAGAAAAAAAAAAAAACCCTGAACAGACCAATAACAAATAATGAAATTAAATCAATAAAAGTTCTCCTATCAAGTAAAAGCCTAGACCTGAAGCATCACTTCTGTTTCCTACCAGACGTTCAGAAAACTGGTATCAATTTTTCTCTAACTATTCAAAAAACTTTTAGAGGACATTATTCCAGTCACATCCTACAAGGGCAGTATTAGTCTGTTGACTATGTCAGACAAGCTCAACACAAAAGCAAGTAAGATGGCATTTTGTAGGCAGTTTGTCTCAAACTGTTTTGTTTGGGCATTTTTTATCTTCTTGGTCTGTTGTTTGTGTGCTCTGGTTTTTGTTTTTGTGCTGCATGTATTTCTTTCTCTCTCTCTTTTTTTTTTCCTTTTTGGTTTCTGTTTGCTTAGTTTGAAAAGGAAAGGCTTGGAGTTGTGTGGTATAGAGGCAGGGAGGGGCATGGTTAGAATGGAGTGTAGGAAAGTTTTTTTTTTCCCCCAACAGAACAAAACAAAAACATTTAAAAACAAAATTCAACAAAAAGCATAAGGCACACACCACAGAACTAGAAAAATTACTTGAACTAATAACATAAGATAAAATAATCAATAGTAAATTAAGATGTTATATTGATGCTAAAATTCCCAGTAAGCAACTTCAAGGATCTAATGAAAACTGGTGGAAGCATACACCCAAAGACTGCAAATTAGAGACCACTGGAAAGGATGAAAGTAAGCTGCGAGTATCAGGAAAGAATTTCTTATATAGACTTAGCAGTGGAATGGACATAACTGAGAAATCACTGAAGTGAAGACAGATTAAAATACAAAAAATAAACCTAAGTATTCTACAATATATACAATGGAGTTCCAGAGGAACAACCCAGGAGAAGGAAAAATATAAATGATAATAGCTTGTAAAACCAAAAATCCCCAACAAGCAAAATAAATCAACAACAAAACAACCTCCCAACCGCCCCAACACACAGATTCAAATTGCTAAAAACCAATGGTCAGGAGAAAAATCTTGAAGGAAACAGATAAAGCATACACAAATAAGCAAAGAATGACAACTGATTTCTCATCGAAACCATACAAGACTGGGAAGAATAGATTAGACTGATCACTGAAAGTGTGTGTGTGGAGGGGGGCGGGGGTCCTCTGCATGCATGCCACCATAATGAATATAGAAACCCTCTGTGCTCTTGGAATGAATGAAGATTTCTCTATTATCAGTGAGTGAGCAACAGTTTTGCAGAAGCAAACACTCCCTAGGTGCCTTTACCTGATAATAGCATCACATTCCACAGACTGACAGTTCAGACCCCAGAACTGTACCCTTATCCATTTTGTATGCCAATGTCTTTTAGTTACTATCCTATTGCTATGATGAAACAGCATAACTAAGGCAACTTTCTTTCTAAAAAAAAACTATTTATTTGTGGACTCGCTTACAGTTTCAGAGCATTGGTCCATGACCATCATGGCAGGAAGTGTGGCGGCAAGCAAGGCATTTGAGTAGTAGCTGAAATCCCACATCTGATCCTTAAGCTGCAGGCAGAGAGAGAGAAAAAGAGGGCAGGGGTTGGGGGTGTGACAGCAGAAAGAGAGAGAGACAGAGGAGACAGACACAGAGACAGACAGACAGACACAAACAGACAGACAGACAGACACAAACACACACACTGGGCCTGGGGTGGAATTTGAAATCTCAAAGACCACACACCTTGTAATCTGTCCCAAACAGTTTCACTAACTGGGGATCAAGTATTCAAACATCTGAGTCTATGGGGGGCATTCTTACTCAAACAATCACAGCCAGTATCCCTATGCTGTTTGACCCGTGCTTCTGACTGTCTATCAAAGTGGGTTCCCCAAACTACTTCCTTTGATCAATTTTTCTCCTTGGCTCTTAGAACCGAGAAAGACATAAGGCACACTTATATCTATCATACAGGAAATTACAAAGTATAGACATGAAGAGCTTTATAGGGAAAGCATATGGGTCCAGAACTTACAAACGTCCAGGTTACCACCTTTGTGCAAGAATTCCAAACATATCCTTTTAGGTTTGAGCTACTGGAGGACTCATTAACTAATGGCTACTATCAAAGTGAAGGAAAGGACCCCTGGTTGCTGTTGGTAAGAGCAGAACAAGCACAGCCATGTGCAAACAGTATAAAGACTATCTAAAATATGAAAGAACTACCATATACTCAACTACCACTACTGAATATAAACTCTTAGGATGGGAAAGTTGTATGTTAAAGAGGTACATTCCCATATTTATTGTAGAACTATTCACAACAGCCAAGATGCTCACCAGCTGATAAAGAAAATGTGTTAGAGATACATGGTGGAACACTGCTTAGCTCATACAAAATAAAACTCTGTTGTTTCTTAAAACATGAATGAAACTAGAGAACCTTACAAAAAAATCAAATAATCAGGCAGAGACTTCACTGTTATGTAGAATCTTAAAGAATAAATCTTAACAAAAGTACAGGTGCATTAGTTCTCAGAGGTTTAGGTTTTTTACAAGGATATGGGAGAGGAGGTAGGGAATGAAAATATATTAGTTAAAATATACACAATTAAGTAAATAAGAGGATTATTCTTATGAATGTCCCCAAAGGATAAATACAGAGGAAGTAGGATAAGTAAGATAAGGATAGAGAGGTGGGAGAATATGAGTGGAAGAGCCAAGGCATGAATAACTACAGTGCTTATGAAGTGTGATGATGTACTAATACTGTGCTCCCTTCAGCAGAAAATATACCAGAGATGAAACCACAATGTTTAAATCTTGTGCTGATGGTACACATCTCTACCATCATATGGAAGACAATGGGAATATGCACATTAAGTGCATTTCAGTAAAATGTCTCTTAAAACAAATGTAGAAATCAATAAAATAAATTTTAAACTAACTTGCTGAGAAGACTTGCCCTCAGCAAGACAGAAACTGAAGAGAAAGCATGGAGTCAGCAAACTACTGGACAGACAGACACACATGGGTACTTTATCTGATGGCCACAGCTTAATTTGAATTTTGCTTGTTCCTACTCTGTTCTTTCTCTGTTCTGTTCTTATACCCTGATGCCCTCCTCCTCCATCTTCCCTGATGTCCTCCTCCATCTTCCCTGATGTCCTCCTCTTCCATCTTCCCTGATGTCCTCCTCTTCCATGTTCCCTGATGTCCTCCTCCTCCATCTTCCCTGATGTCCTCCTCCTCCATCTTCCCTGATGTCCTTCTCCATCTTTCCTGATGTCCTCCTCCTCCTCCATGTTCCCTGATGTCCTCCTCCTCCATCCTCCCTGATTTTCTCCTCCTCCATCTTCCCTGATGTCCTCCTCTTCCATGTTCCCTGATGTCCTCCTTCTCCATCTTTCCTGATGTCCTCCTCCTCCATCTTCCCTGATGCCCTCCTCCTCCATCTTCCCTGATGTCCTCCTCCTCCATCTTCCCTGATGCCCTCCTCCTCCATCTTCCCTGATGTCCTCCTCCTCCATCTTCCCTGATGTCCTCCTCCTCCTCCAGGTTCCCTGATGTCCTCCTCCATCTTCCCTGATGTCCTCCTCCTCCATCTTCCCTGATGTCCTCCTCCTCCATGTTCCCTGATGTCCTCCTCCTCCATCTTCCCTGATGTCCTCCTCCTCCTCCAGGTTCCCTGATGTCCTCCTCCATCTTCCCTGATGCCCTCCTCCTCCATCTTCCCTGATGTCCTCCTCCTCCATCTTTCCTGATGCCCTCCTCCTCCATGTTCCCTGATGTCCTCCTCCATCTTCCCTAATGTCCTCCTCCTCCATCTTCCCTGATGTCCTCCTCCTCCATCTTCCCTGATGCCCTCCTTCTCCCTCCATCTTCCCTGATGTCCTCCTCCTCCATCTTCCCTGATGTCCTCCTCCTCCATCTTCCCTGATGTCCTCCTCCTCCATCCTCCCTGATGTCCTCCTCCTCCATCTTCCCTGATGTCCTCCTCCTCCATCTTCCCTGATGTCCTCCTCCTCCATCTTCCCTGATGTTCTCCTCCTCCATCTTCCCTGATGTCCTCCTCCTCCATCTTCCCTGATGTCCTCCTCCTCCATCTTCCCTGATGTCCTCCTCCTCCATCTTCCCTGATGTCCTCCTCCTCCATCTTCCCTGATGTCCTCCTCCTCCATCTTCCCTGATGTCCTCCTCCTCCATCTTCCCTGATGTCCTCCTCCTCCATCTTCCCTGATGTCCTCCTCCTCCATCTTCCCTGATGTCCTCCTCCTCCATCTTCCCTGATGTCCTCCTCCTCCATCTTCCCTGATGTCCTCCTCCTCCTCCAGGTTCCCTGATGTCCTCCTCCATCTTCCCTGATGTCCTCCTCCTCCATGTTCCCTGATGTCCTCCTCCTCCATCTTCCCTGATGTCCTCCTCCTCCTCCAGGTTCCCTGATGTCCTCCTCCATCTTCCCTGATGTCCTCCTCCTCCTCCAGGTTCCCTGATGTCCTCCTCCATCTTCCCTGATGTCCTCCTCCTCCATCCTCCCTGATGTCCTCTTCCTCCATCCTCCCTGATGTCCTCTTCCTCCATCCTCCCTGATGTCCTCTTCCTCCATCCTCCCTGATGTTCTCCTCCTATTTCTCTTATTTTCTCTTAATGTTTTTATATCTCCTAACACAAAAATTTCTACACAAGAAAAGATGACCTCACAACCACAAATTACATATTTTTGAAAAACAAAAAATCTTTACAAAGGAAGAAATCACATTATGATCACAAGTTACATTTTTCTTAAAAGCTCACAATTAGTTAACATTTTCTTTGTATTAATATTCCCACCATAACATCTTCACTCCCAAACAATGATTCCTTTATAAATGATTAACTGATTAACAAAGTTTTAAGCAAGCCAAGTATATTTCAGTCAATTCCTTTTGTACTTGGTAGGCAGCTGTTTTCGGTCACAAAGAAAGGATCAAGCATTTTAGTATTTATCTCAAAAGGTAACCTTGCAAAAGACTGTAAAAGAATCACAAATCTAAGCTTATATATAAAAAGGAATTAGCCATTTCTACTTTAAGTTCTCAGAGTGCACATCCACCCAACAACAATTTTTATTAAATCATACCAGGAAGACAAGGGAAATTAATAATTGCCTTTGGTCACCAATCTATCTTAGCAAGGAAGGCACATCAGCTAGTAATAACCAGGCTTCCTTTGTTCTTGTTTCTTGACCTCAACAAGTCCCTCGTTCAACTATTAAAAGTGTGCCTTTCTAAACTTTAAATTGTTCCTCAACATTTTCTACATCAAAACTATTAACAAAAATATCTTAACGCAAGTTTACTAACAATCTACATCTCTAAATTCTTTCTAAGGGTGGCGGTTGAATCATTAATCTGCTCCAGGACAAATCTTAGAAAAAGTCAATCACTACTATTGTAAGTAACAGTGACATTGCCCAGCAAGGGGCTAGAAACCCCCGTAAAGATGTCATAGAACTTGCAGAGTATAAGGGACTGGTGACTGTGAGTGTAACAAGCAGAGCTGTGCTCAATAACAGCATGAGGTCCTCAGGAAATGTGGTCCTCGGAGCTCTGTCTCTCCAAGGCTAGGCTAACTAGTGGGCCCTTTTCCATGAGTCCCAAAGCTGCTTGCTGTTCCTCTTGCATGGCCCCTGACACTAACTTAAATTTCAATTTCCAATTATTCTTTGCCCATTCTAAAAAATTCATACAGTGATCTGGCTAAATTCACTTAACAGTTTCAGTACCTTCTTTTTGATAAATTTTGTTAATTATGTCTAAAAAAGACAATTATGTTTGTTTCTTTTCAATTTTAAGCTTCCCTTTTTTCACTTTTCCTCCTTTCTTTTTTTATTTGATTTTAATTGTGTGTGTCTACATGCTTACAGTATTGGCCAGTAAAGCCAGTAAAATGCTAAATAAAAATGGTCAGAGTGAGCATCCTTGCCTTGTCATTGTTGGGTCCAAATTGGCCCCAAAAATGGCAGTGCTGGAGATAATGTCTTAAGCAAAAGGGTAAACAGAAGCCTAAACTTAGCACTACTGAGGAATTTCCCAACGCAAGTTTGTTTACCAGGAAAACCACTACCTCCCTTATTCATTCCAGTGGTCAACTACCTTTGCATGGGCATCTCACTCCAGCTTAATCTTAACAGCCTTCATCAGCTCAAAGACCTCTATCTTGCTGACTATCATATAAAATCTGCTCACTCTCCTGCCAAACTGTTGTTCTCAATTCTTGGAAGCTGACTGGCAGTCTATTCTCTCAATAAACTTTTCTTTCTACTCACATAGTGGTCCTGTTCAAAAACTTCACTGTGCCCTCACTTACCGTTACTATTATGGAAGGTAAGTCACCATTAAATATGATATGAAGTTTAAATATTATTGTGCATTGAAGCCATTTATTAGGATGAAAACAGAAAACTCTTTAATAAAGTATTTGTAAACAGAATGAGCAATATATCGAAAATGGATACTACAGCATGACATAGTTTATCTCAAGAATATATATTTGTTTAACACTAACAATCAGTAGGGGCTAAAGATGGTTCAGTAGTTAAGAATATTTTACCGCTCTTACGACAAACCCAGGTTTTGGTTCCCAGCATCTATGTGGCAGCTCACAACTGTCATAATTCCTGTTTTAGAGGAAACTTCAGACTTCTGAGGGTACGGTACACATGGTACATATAAATAGATGCAGACAAAACACCTGGACACTTCAAAAAAACTTTTTAAAAGAATCAACCAGGATAATCATTAAGAGAATAAAACAGAAAAGCCAGGAATCCCCATAGATGCAGATTAAAAACTTACAGTGATTTATTTATAACAGCTTCTCCAAATACAAAAGTAGCAAGCAATACATTAAGCAATATATGCATAAAATTGATACAACGAAAACTAAGAACCATGCTGAGTGTGGTGGCGCAGGCCTATACTCCCTGTACTTGGGTTAAGTAAGGGCCAGCTGATCTAACAAAGAAGCAATATAACTAACAGAACATTAAAGGACACCTGTAGAGACACATAGTGTACCCTAAGGAAGAAGCAATAGTGTTAAAAGTTCAATTTTCACAAAGTTGACCACAAATAAAACACAATCCCAGTGAAAGCCTCAATTTGACTTTTACTTGAAATTCACATGCTGATTCTAACATGCAGAAATTCAAAGAATCCAGGTTCACAAAGAGCTTAAAAAATATTAAAGTTGGAAGAGTCAAATTAACTGACTCCAAGATCACTACAAAGCTAACCCAAATGTCTGATGATGGTAGGTAGAACTAAATATGATTACCTAGAACATGAGTTCTTGAAACAGACTATAACACAGCCAGTGAGTCCAGCAAAAGTGCAAAGACAGGTCCATTTTAACTGTACCCTACCACAGTGCTCTTACAAGGTTAAGCAAATGTGGCCCAATTATTTTAGGAAACAATCCGGCATTTTCTTATAATGTTCAGTATAAATTTGCCATTTCAGCTAACAATTCCTAGATATTTCTTAAGAGAAATGAAATCATGTCTATGTAAAAAATTATACTCAAATACTAAAAGCAGTTTAACTAACAAAGACAAAACACCTTAAACGTCTAACAAAGGGCAAATAAACAAAAGGTTACAATACATTCATACAGTGGAATACTACACAAGAACAATCCTAACTACAGCACAAGGCAAATGATGATAGATCAAAGAAATATACCATACAAACAAACCTCAAAACACTTAAGGCATAATAACAGACAAGAAACCAGTGGCTGTCTGGTATTTGTGGTCCAGAATTAAAAGTACAAGGACACAAGAGCTCTTGATACAGGTAGGTTAACATTACTGTATAAGTTCACCAAATTCACCAAAATGTAGACTTAAGATGGTGTGTTTCGTTGCGTATAAATTACATTTTGGTAAAACAGGTAAGGTTCTAGGCCTGGTTTTAAAAAACAAGTATGCAAACACAGTGTAGCAGTGAGAAGTCTTTACCCCTTTACGGTGATGGGCAGGTGCTCAGGGGGTCAAGCGCTGGTTGTCCAGCGTGAGAAGCGCTGGTTGTCCAGCGTGAGAAGCTGAGTTTGGATCTCTAGCACCCATGTCACCACACAGGCATAGTGGTGCACACCTACAATCCAGCATTGCAGACAGACAAGAGGATTCCAAGAGCTTGTCCAGCCAGCCAGTAAGCCTAGCCTCATCAGCAGGCTCTGGTTCAGTGAGAGAGCATGTCTCAAAATATGAGGTGAAGAGTAATAAGGAAGATGTGAGCTCTTTCCTCTGTAAATGAATGCATGGGCACACCTCTACACACACTTTCACAAATAAAAATTCCTTGTACTTAAAAAGACAAAATGAGCTGGGCATTGGGACCCACACCATTAATCCCAGCACTCAGAGGTAGAGGCAGGTGGATCTCTGAGTTCGAGGCCAGTCTGGTCTATAGGACATCCAGAGCTACACAGACAAACCCTGTCTCGAACAAAAAAGAAATTAAGTTATGATGGAAATAGTATGAACCACAAAGACAGTACTATATAAATCCCAAGCAAGCCTCTCTGATAATAAAATAATAAACTAGCAAAAGCTTAAGAATGCTTCAAAATTTCCTAAGTATTGCTTTCTCTTTTATTTTCTTGAGTTGAACAATAACATGGGAAATAAAATGGAGATAACCAGAATAATCAAAGCCCATCTATAAAACAAATTTTGTTCTATTAAGAAACTCATACATTCATGCACAATGCTTGATTTGAGAGATAAAATCCTAGACACATGACAAATGAACAAAGCTGAATAGACTCAGTGGGTTATATACACAGGTGTACGTGTGTGTGTGTGTGTGTGTGTGTGTGTGTGTGTGTGTGTGTGTGTACGTGTAATAATAATGAAAAAGTGATCATTAAAAACAGGGAGGGCACGGGAGGAATTGGATGGGGGATGGGGAGGTGGGAATGATGTAGATGTAGTGTTCATGCATGAAGTTCTCAAAAAAAAGTAACTAAAAATAAATTTCCCAGTTGTACAAAAAGAATATCTTATCTCATTCTGACTTATAATAACATAAATATTAGAAAGTATTAATAGAAACAAGACCTCATCCACTGCTTCAAATGTATAAAATCCCATCGTACCTTACAAGAGAATCACTTCGCTTATCTGCCCTCACAAGGAGGACAACTTTCCATCTGTGGAAAGCTCCTGGAGCACCAGTCCGTTTCAGTTCTTCACGCCATCTTTTAGGTGCAGATTGCATTTGAGGTGAATAATGTGAATCTTTTTCAATTTTATATCCCCATTCATAAGTTGTTTCATCAAGCCATCTGCCACTTTTGGCACTATGAATTATGTAGTCCTTCGTTAATACCCATTTTCCTAGAAAGCAAATGAATTGTCACAAAAGAACTTTAGTTCTGCTAAATGGTAAACAATAAAGATCAAATAGCAACTTAGCATTCTTTTTATACATGAGATCCTTATGATAGACTGACAAAACTTTTTAAAATAAAATTTCAAGAGGCCTTCAATATCACTGAACATTGTATATAATCTTTTCTATGATACATAGTCATAATTCTAAATGCTACTAAATGAAATATAAATCTAAAGATTAAAAGTAAAGGCAATGTTACTTGAACTATTAATTATTACTAACTGAATTCATTTTTCTGGGTTAGGTTTATTTCCTCCTATGCTAAACTATTTAAATAACATTCACAGTATTGTTATACTATATTAAATTTATTGACTAGTGAATTTTATAGGAAATGTCATATTCTGCTATTTATGTGGGCACCAATGATCACTTAAACAGCAAGAATAATGCATAGTTTTGTTTGTAAAGGTTAGTCATAATCTAAATGTCTCTCTGGCAATGAATGTAAAAAATGATGTGGCATTCATGACTGACTAAGACTCAGTCACCACAGAAAGAAGCTACTTGTGCATCAGTAGTGAGGAAAAGGTGAGATGAGAAGGCCTGCTCTCAACTCGGGTAACAGAATTTACTATCTCAGAAAACTAAAGGAGGAAGAATTGCTTCCCAGTGGAGACAGAGGGACAGCAGCCTGGGAGAAGGACCCACCTCTGTAACGAGACATGATGGAAGGCAAAGGGGCTGCAGAGGGAGGCTTCACTGAAGCTTTCGTTAAGGATGGGTATTTTGTCCCAATCTTTTTGTTAAGACAATTTTTTTTTTCTTAAGCAAAACATTAAAACTAAATTTGTGACAAAGTAAATATTTCTTCCTATTTAATATGTATTTCAATGTGTTACAAAATTTTAATCAGAATAAAGAAAAATCAAGTATCTTTAAAAAAATCAGAAAACAACACACATATATCTGACATAATAAGCATAATATATTTCCAGAGACTTGAGATTTCCTCCATTAACATGACATTTTTTTTTTTCAAGAGTTGGAGAAAGGGAGTTTACTTACCTGCTGCACAAGCTGCTAAAAATTTTTCACTCTTGCACAGGCGTTCAGCTATAAGGTGTGTACAATTTTTATATTTCTGGAGGGAAGAATCCACATGAAACAATGTTACTAGAGTGAGATTTTCTTAATAATGAAACTTTTTACTTTTACAATATAAGGCCATTTTGATTTTGTTTTTTTAATTCTATGTTTTAACTCTCTATGTTGAATATTTTAGTACATTTCCATACTCACCTCACTCTTAATAAAAGTGCAATCTAGTTTTAAAAGTAACTTGACTAGAGCTTCCTTTTCTTCCATCTTAAATCCTGTCATCTGGATGACATGCTTTGTGGCACCATCTCCCATCTAGCATATACACACATACAGAAGACAGCAGATGTTAAAGAGTATGCATAAAAGTGACTTCTTTTTTTCTTAATTATGAGTACTAAAAAGAAACTAAAACCATGAAATATATTATGAATTAAACATGCAAACCTTAACTGTTAAGTAATGATGTTAAATTTAGTTACTACAATAAAAGCCAGTTTCAATTTATTTTTCTCGAAATCTTAAAGTGAATTTTTGTTGTTGTTTCGATATTGAAAGCCTGAAGTATTATATTATTTGCCATTAAAACACACTGTTGAATATGATTCTTCACAAAATGATAGGGGCCTAGATAAATATGAGCATACTTATGTTTTCAGCATGAGTTTTTGTTGAAAGCTTTTCAAATAAGCACACTTGTGAAAATGAAACTATCAGCTGCATGGTAGTTTTCAGAATGTGGGCAAAACTAAAGAATATATACTGGTCACCAAAGTTACTAACAAGACTCATATTTCCACAGCATTTATAGTAAATAATTTAAGAGACAGGCACAATGACTCCAACTTCTGTTACAACTTAGATTTTTAATTACTTCCTCTCTCCCTACCGCCCCAACACATGTTCTGAGAAAAATAAGTAAAACAAAAAGAGAAAGGAAAAAAAAAAGAAAAACCCATAAACCTAAAGTCAAAACAAAACAATCTTTTAAAAGTATAGTATTTAAACACAGGATTAAGTGAATAAAATGTTATAGAAATTTTATTTTCAAGAACTAAAATAAGGCTTTATGAGTTCCATACCAGAAAAGACATGTCAAATATCTGGGGGAAAATCCTTGAAGTTGAACATGTAAAAGTTTCTTTTCGCCTCAATACTATTCCATATCCAAATAAAGTAGTAACTATGTACACAGAATATACTGGATTAGGGATTTTAAGTTCTTGAGAGATGATTTAAAATGTAGAATACATGATTTAGGTGATCTGATTTTGGTACCTGATGGGGGAGTCCTGGAATCAAAACCCTGTAACACCTCTGGACAACTGTACATACACACACACACACACACACACACACACACACACACACACACACACACACTTTCTATCCTCCAGGTCAAAATTCATTCTGGAGTAACACTGAGAGTTTCACTATAAACCATTTACATTTAAAATATCACACAGGGTCAGGAGTGAACCTTCTCTTTTCACGCTTAAAGCTCCTATGAGAAGAAATGTTAGCTAGGGTAAAGGGATTGCAGTTCCTCTTTCTACCCTTTATCATAGTAGGCAGAAGCTCCTTGAGAGACCTAAGTGATATGCTTTTCTCAGCACATCTGAATACCTGTGAAGACAGCTCATGTTAATGCTTTTTGACACATCTCAAGGAGCTGCTGGGAGTCCTGCACTGCAGGGGCAGATCAATTCACAGGTCATATAGTAAAGAGCACAGTAGAGCTGCATATCAAAGCCATCTCTCTCAAACCAATTTTTACTCAGTAAAAGAAATTGATATTATGACCTCAAAAAAAATCTGTCTTCAGTATTTGCCAACTGATTCCAAAAGAGGCAACAAGTATACAGTATCAGCCCTCTAAAATAATGAAACTCAGATATAAAACACGAAATATCTATAAGAATGAGACTTTCAAATGAAGCAAATGCTTTAATGTAAGGTACAGGGCTTTGGTCTGGCTACGACACAGTTATAAAATGTACACTAATATGCATGGTATCTCACGAAAGAAATATATCTATAAAATACTATCATCAATAAATAAGACACAAGTATGTCCCCAGTAAAAGGATCTTTTTACTGTGCATTTTAAAAACCATTTTCAAGGTTAATATGGTTAGCTCTTCAATGACAATACCCAATAATGCAGACTAGCAATACAGACAACTGTACAAAGACTATGCTGCACTGCAAGTAAAAAAACTGTCGATTCCAAAACATCCACATGCACACAGTAAAGACGTACTCCTATTACACAGCAGCAGATGCCTGTAACTCGGGGAGAAAGCTGCTTTCACCCACTCAAAAGAATTATTTAAGAAAACTCTTAAACAATTTTCATTTAGAAAATGATATGTCTCTTGAGAAATAACTAAGTAAAATTCAATGTAGCTATAAATAGTCTTGGTTTTTAATCAGTTCTTATAGATCTCAAAAGTCAGTTATGAGAAGACATGAATTTAAACATAGTATATATTTTCAAAATTCTATTTTTATTTATGTATTGAAGTTTTCAAAACTAGTTAGGAGGCTATTTCAAGAAATATTATGAAAAGGAGCGGGATCAGAGTAGTTCTTAAAACTTACAGTCTTACTTATGGAATATATGATGCATTAAAAACTGTTAATGACTAACTGGAGTAGGGGCGGGTGAAGCTTTGGAGCAGAGCACCTGATTATCTTAAAGAGGACACTGGGATCAATCCCCATGCCCTCTTGCCCCCAATAATCAAAACAAAGTTACAAAAACTGCTCTAACATTATCACCAATAAGTTGGCTTTAAATATTGCATTATGCTTTATGAAAATTACGTTAGGGCCTTTAATCCCAGCACTCGGGAGGCAGAGCCAGGCGGATCTCTGTGAGTTCGAGGCCAGCCTGGACTACCAAGTGAGTTCCAGGAAAGGCGCAAAGCTACACAGAGAAACCCTGTCTCGAAAAACAAAACAAAACAAAAAAAAAAAATAAAAAAAAATAAAAAATAAAAGAAAAACATCTATCACACTTCTTTTCATATCAGTAATTGCTACTTTAAGTTCTGAAGTGACATTTTAATACATTTTATTTTGAAGTATAATTGTTAAATTATTTGAACTTATTAGAATAAATACACATAATGCAGTTTCCATCTTAAACCTACCTTTGTAATATACATTTTAATGGCAGTAATCACCTCCATATATTTAGCAGCATTTTCTGCTAAAACAATGTCTCATAATAAGATGAAAATAGGACCAACTGTAGTATACAACAGCAGGAAGCACAAAAGCATTTTTAAAGCAATTTCCTTACTTTGAAAATGCTTACTAAGAAACTGACACTATTCATATAGAAAGAGGAAAAGGAAAAAATCCAAGTGAGAAAACAGAATATCCTGATTCAAACAGTATGAGCATATACATGTCTAAAAACAAATCAGAATGCAAGATATTTATTTATTCACAAGTTTATCAGAAAAACAGGAGATATGCTAGTTAACTTTCACAGAGCTATAAATCATGGACATGCACACAGCTAACAGTTTTAAGAATACCAAGACTAGTCTAATTGCCTTCTGTAATTATGTGACCAACAACCTAAAGCAAAGGCAACGTTTTTGAACATCATACTGTATGAAACAAAAAGGTCTACATGACATCCAATATATATGACTACACAGGACAATTGATATATACATAAACATGGCAATACAGACATGGATGTATTTTATACATAAGTAGTAGTTTGATGGTTCTTCCATACCCTGGAAGTTTAAGAGAAAGTAAACAGCCTGATGTGCCAATGAGTTAAAAGAGAACACTATAGAAATGTCCTTAAAGCATATCAATAAGCCAGGTAACTTAGAATAAGGTTAAATTTTATGTAGGTAATATATGTTCTGAAGTACGGAGAACTGAAATCTTCCAGTACCAGAAAGAACAAACATTCCATAACACAGTTAATACTAGTTGCATTTCTAGAAAATGTTCCTATCTTCCCAGCTGAGGTGGGGGTAAGGGAGTAGAACGTATGAACCTTTAAGCACCACACTGATGACATCTTCACATAAATGAGGAAGAGACCATTTATTTTTATTAATTGTTTATCTTTATAATATAAAATAATACCAGTAAATTCCTAGTTATAAAAAAGCTCTTTTGTAGTAATATTTTAAAAACTTTATAGTAGTAATTCTTTAAAATGTACTCACCCTGAGCCACGTAAAATACAAATCTCAGGAGACAGTGCCTGTGAACAGGCTGCCCTTTATACATAGCAAGCAACTGTCACTGTGGCGTGGACTGTCTTAAAATATCTCTCACCAAGGCTTATCCTTGATGCCTGAAATTCTTTGACAGTTGGTGTCAGCCAGAAGCACCAGGAAATCTACATTTCTCATTACTGTGACGGTGTAATATTTTATGCTAAGTTTTTAATAGAACCTTTCAATTCTTTACAGTATGCCAGTGCTAGGTACACCTTTAATCCCAGCACTAGGGAGGCAGAGACAGGTGGATCTCTGATTTAAGCCAGCCTAGTTGGACTACACTATGAGTTCCAGGCCAGCAAGAGCTACATTGAGACCCTGTCTCAAAAACAAGGAAGCAAAAGTGAAAATCAAGGCAGGAATACAGGTAACAAAACAAAGGTCTGCAGCTGAGACAGGACAATGACTACAAGTCAGAGGTCAGCATGGACATACCTTATGGGACAGGAAAGTGGGGTAGGAGGGAGCGACAAAAGGCAGGATGAACAGTTGGCTACACAATTACTGCAGAAAAGAGAAGACAGGATGCGCAACCAAGTCCTCGGAGGGAAGTAAGGGTTTTCTTCCCTATTCTGCGTTATAATGTTTTATAACCAGCTATATATGTGTGTGTAAAAACTAAATTTTTACTTCTAAAATAATCTTTACCAATTTTCGTTTTTTAATTTCAACTAACATTTTGAGTATAGAAAATTTCAAAAGTACACAGTGATTAAACTTATCTCTAATTTCTTCACCTTATAAAACTAATGTATTAGTTTAATGTATATATGAAAAACAAGTACATATAATAAAATTTGGGAATGTACTTCCCTATTTGTTATGATTATTTTTCCATGTAGTATTCTTGTTGATAAATATAATAAACCACATGTTGAAAATTAGCATTCTCTTCATTATCATTTAACAGGAAACTATTTTGATTTGAAGCCTTCTTTTACTAGAGAACATTTGAAAAATCCTTTCTTCCAAAAAGCATATATGTAAGTCTCCCGTACAGTTGACTTTACTGCTTTGAATTCAAAACTTGAAAGATCTCACTGAGAAATTGAAACTGAAAATTAAAATGAAAACAAATATGGTCAAAGCATTAGATTTCTTTCTGCTTACAAAGTTGCAAAGCATACACTCATGTCTTAGTACTCATCCTGTGGGAGTGAAATTCTGTTAGCTCTGAATGCTTTAATTTCAAGTGGAGTGTAGGAATCCTCACCCGTCTGGGCCCAGGAAAAAACAGACCCTTGGTCTAATGTCACTCAGCAAGCCTTTGGAATTTGTTTTAAAAGACGTTGCTATGTTAGTGCCAAGGAGATGGCTCAGCAGGTAAAGGCACTCGCCACCAACCCTCGAGACCTGAGTTTGATCCCAAGACTCACATGGAAGAACATGTATACACATTCACACACAAAATAAGTATGGAAAAAAGTTGTCTTACTTCCTGTCCCATCTTTCAATGATATGATATATTATTAATTATTTAACAGAGGTCTGGAGGGACTGGGGATGTAGCTCAATGCTACAATGTCTAAGCATGTGTAAGACCCTAGGTTCAATCTACAAGCAACACACAACTAAAAAAAGACAAATAGAAACAGAAAACCAGAAGTCTCTAGTGATAGATGTGAGAAATGTTCTTGTCTCTTAGAAAAGGAGCAATTATTAATTCCTTTAATGGGAAATTTGGCAACAGAGAACTAATAAAAAGTGAATGTGGTGAGAGAGAAAAAAATAAGAGACTGAAGGAAAATGTGGAGATATACCATCTATCCAACAGTGTACATGATGTAAGCTGGGCTAAACCTTTCAATTTAGGGTGAAAAGAATTCTTACGAAGCAAACTGTACAAAGAAAGTTTTCTGTATGAAAAGTATGAGTTTAAAATTGGTTAATTAAAATGTTTGATTTAATTCTTATTAAGGGCCTACTGTGGTCTATACACTTCATATATTTTCCACTATATTTACCTGCATACAGATGAGAATACAAGATACTAGATTAAGGAAGGGGTATAACTTGGTAATATAGTATATACTACACACACACACACACACACACACACACACACACACACACACACACACACATATATATAAACTAGATAAGGAAGGGAGATAACTTGGTAATACAATATAGTATATACTTAGCAGGAAATAAGCACCGAGTCAATCCCTAGCACCAGGGGCAGAGGAAAAAATCCAAAAGACAAAAAACAAAACAAAACAAAAAACCTACTTTAGGGAGTCACATCTTTGTAAAAATAGTGAAACCAAGATTCAAAGATAAGCGTGTTCTGTGAAAAGGCTATGCCCTTTCCACAGTGCCAACCAGGCTTAAATTTCAGGTTTAATTACTTTTCATAAACACATTACAATTCTACAAAGCAATCAATATTCCACCAGTACAACAGGAAAGCATGAAAAAGAATCTACTACATGGGTAAGACATTTAGAGCAAGAAACACAAAGATTTAAACAGTTATTCATCATTTTTGGAAAAATACTAATGTCTAAAATACACATTTCTAGCAATATTCTAAAGACTACTGTTATTTTTCTTTCGGCAAAACAGATTCCATCATTTTTCTCTTAAGACAGACTTGGAATCAATTATTTCAATTTTTCAAACAGATTTTCTTATCAAAAATAGCATTATATTTTCAATTTCAAAATAATTTCGCTGTAATCAATTAAAATAACAACAGGTGATGTTCCACTATAGCTTTTTGTTCTTTGGAAAGGTTCTTCAGTTTCTTTAGGTTTTTATTATTTTGACCTTATGGAGAACTGACTTTATTCTTGACATGTTTTTTAAACCGTGGAAAGAAAAGACTTGTAGAACAATGTAGAAAAGAGTACATAATAAAAATACTATCTAATTAGTAAGGTTATACTATTAGTTTCCTTAAAAAAACCAAAGAGGCATCCATGGAGAATGTGAATGCATGGAATGAACTCTTAAGTACTCTTAATTTTGATTATGAAAAGGAATTACAATTGACCACTACTTCACACATTAACATAATCTAAGCTTTCTGCTTTACAAAAGCAAAAATATTCTAAATCATAATTGACCATCACCTAAGTCAATAAAGCATGAGAAAAATCTGGATTTAGAAAGCAGGTTTAATAGGTTAGTTGCTTATTAAGGACTGTCTTACAGTAAAATAGATCTAAACATTTGAGTGTTTTTAAACACCCTGGTACGTGAAAAGAAATTATTGTTAACTTATAAACAAATTTCCCACCACACAAATCTACAACCGAATGATCAGCTATGCTCTTAACACCTAGAATAAATGACAAACATTCCATTCACAGGAATAGCTTGAAAACCAACATAAGACCCGGATCATGACAGGGTAACAAACAAGTCCGTAAGATGTGGTGTCTGTTACATGTATACTGTGAATCCAGTTCATTCCCAATGTCTCAACAAAAATTTTTCCTCTGTAGAGGACAGTCATTTGTCATGAAAGAGCTTGGGGACTTTAAAATCAAGTTCCATCTACCACAGGTCCCAAATCCTGATTTGGAGTATAAGGCAAATCAGTGTTTGTCAACACTTAGTCAGACCATGGAAGTGGAATAAGTTTCTGGATAATCACTTAAGTCTCTGACTGGCGCTCAGGCAGCAGGCAATCCCCAGGAACACAGGCCCTCCCTTTAGGAAAGATGTTCACGCGTTTCTACTCAAAGCCTATGGGAGCCGCAGAGATAAAAACTCATTTTCCTTGCGGTGTGAAAAACACCATTCTACTAGAGAGAAAGACGGTCTCCACTTTCCTCCCAACGGAAGGCAGGCCCCCGGACTCCCCGCCACCTCCACTGCAGCTAGGGTCAGGAAGCAGCCCGGACGGGGAGGGGGAGGCAGCCTAGCCGGCTCTATGGAAACCAGAGACGCGGGCGGCCTAGCGCCGGGGCCCGACGGCCGGCCGAGCGCACGCCGCGGGGCAGGCCCCGGGCCACACGGCCAGGCGCGGCGGGGCGGGCCGCGGGCCGGGGCCCCGGCCACCGGCGCGGGCGACCGTGAAGGAAGCAAGGCTGTGGAAAGCGCGAGCACCGGGCGCCGCCGCGGCCCGCCGAGGACGGCGGCAATGTCACCGGCGCGGCCTGGGGACGCGGGGAATGGCGTCTTCCGAGCTGAGGCGCTTTACCTTCCCGGCCGACCGGAGGGTCAGGGCTGACTTCTTCGGGCGGCGGCGGCGGGGGCGGGGGCGGCGGCAGGGGTGACGACTAGGGCGGCAGCACTCACTGCTCCACTAATCTTGCTACTAGGAAATAATTTCCCGCCGCGCGCTCGGCGGCCCCGGAAGCGGTTCTACCACTTCCGGGTGGTTGTCAGTGACGCTCTGGAGTGGTCGCCAGGGCGGTCTGAGCTGCGGACCGACTGCTTCTGGCTGGCCAGCACGTCAGGCCCTTGCGGGACCCGCGCCGCCGGTGGAGACTGGTGAGTGACTTTCCCCTCTCGTCTCTTCGGCCTGGTGTTTCTGGCCAGCCAGCTACCTGCAAGCATGTTGTTAGGACCGAGAAGTGAACAGGCAAGCATTGTACCAGTAAGTAGGGTCCATTGCCGTGGAGCCCGACCCTCCCTGAGGCTGAAGAAGTCTCTGGGACCCTGCTTATTGTCTTCACTGGCATTACCTATTTCCAGCGTGGAAGTCAATCTTGGCTCCCCAAGTAGTGTTCCTGGGCAGGGCTGAAGAAAACTGGGTTCCTACTGTCTCCTATTTGCAGGACTCGGTCACCGTGGTTTCTTGAAAGTTGCATTATGTTCCTCCTACTAAATACTGTTAAAATAGTTCAGGGGCGCACTGGGAGGGCACGCAGGCAGCTGAAGAGGACATCTTTTACATGCTTTCAGAATGGGGCATGGAAGTCATACCTGACTTACAAGTAAACTTTTCTCCCTTGGTTTTAAGTAAAGAATGGTTTCTGTTTTTGTTATTGCTATGAACTAATGAGATGATATCCTGCTTATACTTCTATGCATCAGCTTTAGATCCACGTGTTACGTTTTGAAAACCATTGATCCAGAATTAGGTATACTTTCAGAAAGGAATGCTCTGGCTTTACTCCAAACTCTCTCAACTATGAAGAGTTCAGGAGAACTTTGAATGGAGGTCTGAGTAACCCAGAGAAATGGCTTCTGACAAATGTGTAGTGTGAGGAAAGATGCTCATTTCTTCAGACACCCGAAAGGTGACATGTAATGAATCTTAAGAGTATTATTCTTTTTTGACTAAGGCAGTTTCAGCTAAGTTTACTCATCGCCTTGTAATTCATTGATCACCTTTTGTAAGCTTTGCAGCTCACATGGAAAGGGATCCCGGCAGTTGGGAGCCTAGGAATACCACAAAGTCATGAAAGAGTAGCAGTTTACAGCCCTACTCCAGGGAAAGGTTTCCCCAATGTAACAACTCTGCCCCAGTAGGAGAGGGTTTCAGTTTCCCCTGGGGGAGCCCACAGAGGTTTCCTAGGGAGATCTGAGCTTGCTTTACCCAGCAAGGCTGCATAATGGGATGGCTTGACCACATGCATGGTTACCAGGTGTTTGGAAGGGCCTGCACTTGGGCTATGCGGTATGCTTTGATCTAGCAGGGGGAGATCTTTTGCCCAGCCCCTTGGCATTGTTATAAAAAGCCCGTTGGAAGAGACAGAAGGGGCCAGTGGATTTTATCCAGGTCCTCCCCAAGCTATCCTGTGTTTCTGTCTGTCTCGTCTCTGCTATCGCTATCTTTCTATCCACAAATTCCTTATGCTTCTCTCCTCCTTAAACACCATGTAAAAGGTGGGCGCTGGCCTTCCACACCCAGCAAAGTTGTTACAGTTCTGCTCAGGTGCCCTGGAGTTTAACAACTCTGTATCAACTCTCTTCCCTAGGGGAAGGTTTCCCCAGTGAAAGTGTTACAGTCTTGCTCCTCTCTGCTCTGGCTCTGAGGAAAAGTTGTTACTTCTCTGCTCAGCTCCATTCCCCCCCTCCCCCCCCCCCCAAGTGCCAGGGTGGAAAAAGGCAACAGTAAACTGAACAGGCATAGGAGAGCTTCTTATGGGCGGAGTTTTTCCAGGGTGGAGATTTTCAGGGTGGGAATTGGTTGAATTTCAATCCCTGAGCTTGGACAAGCTCAGAGATTGGTTAATTTTCCTACTCAGGCATTGGTTGATTTTGTGCTCAGGGATTGGTTGGTTTTCCTGCTCAGGGTTTTGTGCTCAGTTGGTCAGGGGCAGATTTGGCTCTTGTTTCATGGCCAAAGTGTGTTTCTTTCACTGGCACTCTTTAGCCTTTTGGCTCTAGTTTTAGGGCCATGGTGTGTTTCTTTCACTGACTGTGGTTCTAGGGCCAAAGTGTGTTTCTTTGGCTCTGGTTTCAGAGCTAAAATGTGTTTCTTTCACTGGCTCTGGTTTGAGGGTCAGGATGGGTTTCTTTGGTTCTGGTTTCAGAGCTAAAATGTGTTTCTTTCACTGGCTCTGGTTTGAGGGTCAGGATGGGTTTCTTTGGCTGGCCTTTTTACCCTACACTATTTCCTCATTTCCCCTGAAAATCAGTCTATCCCAGAAGAAGTTGAGAGATTACCATAAAGAACAATGCACAGTGGTTAAGAACACACTTCCAGAGGTGCCTAGTTCAATTCCCAGCATTCATGTGGCAACTCACAATCAACTATAACTGTAGTCACATGGGATCCAATGACTTCTTCAGATGTGCATCTGATATGCATGCGTACAAAACACTGTATACATAAAATGCACATATAAAAATAATTTTAAAAAGAAAAATGCAGGAATAGGAGACCATGGTAAATGAAGACCACATGAGAATAGGAAAAAGCAAAGTGCTAGAGAGGCCCACAGAAATCCACAAAGATACCCCCACAACACACTGCTGGCAGTGGTCGAGAGACAGCCCGAACTGACCTACTCTGGTGATAGGATGGCCAAACACCTTAATTGTCCTGCTAGAAACCCCATCCAATGACTGAGGGATCTGGATGCAGAGATCCATGGCTAGGCCCCGGATGGATCTCTGAGAGTCCAATTAGCGAGAATGAGGAGGGTTTATATGAGCGAGACTTGTTGAGACCAAGGTTGGATAAAACACAGGGACAAATAGCCAAACGAATGGAAACACATGAACTATATGAACCAATGGCTGAGGGGTCACCAACTGGATCAGGCCCTCTGAATGGGTGAGACAGTTGATTGGCTTGATCTGTTTGGGAGGCATCCAGGCAGTGGGACCAGGTCCTGTGCTCATTGCATGAGTTGGCTGTTTGTAACCTGGGGCCTATGCAGGGTCCCTTGGCTCAGCCTGGGAGGACGGGACTGGACCTGTCTGGACTGAGTCTACCAGGTTGATCTCAGTCCGAGGGGGAGGCTTTGCCCTGGAGGAAGTGGGAATAGGGGGTGGGCTGGGGGGAAGGTGAGGGAGGCCCGGAGGGGGGAGGACAAGGGAATCCGTGGCTGATATGTAGAACTGAATTGTATTGCAAAATAAAAATAAAAAAAAAGAAAAATGCCATATATTAAATACAAAGATGCTGAAGCATCAGGCAAGTGCCCCTTTGCCTTTTCAGAGTAAAGCAACCATATTTAAGAAAGCTTGTTGACCTTTCTAATCTCCTGTTTGATTAATCACTGAACTTTTATAATTTTCTGATTGATACAAATATTATCATCTTATTGATTCTTTTATTTTTTTACTTATATCTTAAAGTAAACAGTTACAAGTTTCAGGGAGATTTTATGTTATTTCCATGTAGCAACTAGCTTTTAGTCACTGTTCTTATTTGTGACTTATATTCATATAGCATTTCATGAATACTCATATGCTGTGGGATGTTCTGTATGGCAAATGTGTTGCTGATTGGTCAATAAATAAAACACTGATTGGCCATTGGCTAGGCAGGAAGTATAGGCAGGACAAAGAGGAAAATAAAGCTGGGAAGTGGAAGGCTGAGTGAGAGAGACACTGCCAGCCGCCTTGATGACAAATAACATGTGAAGATACCGGTAAGCCACGAGCCATGTGACAAGGCATAGATTAATGGAAATGGATTAATTTAAGCTGTAAGAAAAGTTAGCAAGAAGCCTGGCACGGCCATACAGTTTGTAACCAATATAAGTCTCTGTGTTTACTTGGTCGGGTTTGAGCGGCTGTGGGACTGGCAGGTGAGAGAGATTTGTCCTGACTGTGGGCCAGGCAGGAAAACTCTAGCCACACTCATAGGTGTCTACCTTCTGCCTTACAGCTTATATTCACTGTTTAATACTCACAAAAGAAAAATCCTGTCTCTGCATACATTTTATATATCTTCTAAGGTTGTAACTTAAACACAGAAAATTGTCATGACTGAGAGGTGAATCCGGTTTACCTGACTCTGGAATTTGACTGTTTTACTGTGTTTACCTGGCATGGTGACATGTGCCTGAAATTCCAGTATTTGGGAGATTGGAGTAGGATAGTTAGGAGTTTAAGGTCCTAGGTCACTTCTTAGACCCTCAAGCCAAGTCTAAGCTGTATCTGATCCTGTCCCAAAAACAAACCCAACCAAACAAAGAACAACAAAATAGGCTAGGAGACGGAAGAGTTCTTGCTGTTACTTTAGAATTCTGGAGTTTGGCTTCCAGCACCCACATCTGGTGGCTCACAATGGCTCTGTAACTCCAACTCCAGGTAATTCAGTGCCTTCTTCTGGCCTCTGCTGGTACCTGCACATATTTGTGCATGCACATACACATAAAAGAAAAGAAACCCTTCAAAAGAACTCAGTTAAAAAAATCATTCATTTAGGTCTTAGGTACAATAGTACGTAGTGAGTTCCAGGACAGGCTCCAAAGCTACATGAGAAACACTATCTTGATGAAGCCAAAAAGAAGGAGGAGGAGAAGGAGAAGAAGAAGAAGAGGAAGAAGGAGAAGAAGTAGTAATCAGTGTACATAACAAACCTTGGAGATAAGATTTAAAAGTCATGTTCATTGTCATAGGTAATTTTCACATGACTAAGATAAATACTGATCATTGGCCAATTTTATCATTTTAACCCAAAGGTAAATATCTGTATTTTATGTAGATATAGTACTTGCAAGAGATGTAGAGATCAATAGCATTTTAGTGACTCTTAAGTCCTGAGTACCAGCTACCTCCAAAGGCAGCTATTAAACAACACATTTGTACATATTTACTTATAAGTATCAACTCTTTATGGTTGCTTACCATCTCCGATGCAATGTAACCTTTAATCCTCACAGTACTAGAATGTTAGCCTTCTTTTACAGATGATAAAGCTGAGACAAGATTAGCTTTGTAAGCTGTGCTAGTTCACATACAGTTATTAAGTACTGTACCTATGATTTAAAGGCCATATTGCCACCTATTAGGTTTTAACTCTGGCCTAGCCCTTACGTGTATGTTTTGTTAGGTACAGAGAATGGTCTATGATAGCTGTACTT